ACAGCGGAGAACAAGTAGGGCAAAACCACAGTCGATATCATTTCCCAGCACGGGCAGTCTGTATCAAACAAACCGACATCAGCGTAAACACTCATTTGAATATGCTGCCAGGTCACTGACAGGCCACAAAGGTCGCGTCGTATTGACAATGGCGGTGTCTTAAAAAAGAATCCAGAGAGAACAATGAGCTGCATACGGTGCACACACTTCCAGTATCGCAGTGAGCCTTGCTCATAGGCAACACCAACCATCACCATCTCATGCAAGTCACTGCCCTTAATGACTACGTTATGAAAGAGAAAGCCATGTGATGAGCATGCTGCGGCGGTAGGGCGGGACGTCAAAAAAAAAACAAAGATAAAAAGAACCGGTCCAGATTCTTTTTTCCTTTCCTTTCCTTTCCCTTTCCTCTCCTACCTTTTTTTTCACACACAAACGACTACTTGCTCACTCTCTCATCCGGTCCCCTAGATTCCCTCACCCATCCTTCAGGGGACGCCTACGACTGCTTCTTTGGGGAGAGAAGGAGCAGGTTGGTAGGGTTGGCTATTGGCAGTGCAGTGTTGCGTTTTTTGCATATGCGAGGAATACCGGCTCCCAGAATATAGCTAGAAGGACAGCTAATAAAAACTATACGTCCACTACGCCGACTCGTTGCCTTTCCCCCACCCTGTCTTGTCCGCCTTTTTATTTTTCTTTATCGTTCATTGTCACTCTTTTTGTATCTAGGATAGAAAGTACCCGGCTACTAACAGTTCCTTTTTTACTCTTAGCTGGGGCACCCCGAAAGCCCCTGGATGGTCCCCCCTGTGAGAGTGAGCAAGCAGACACGCGTGTGTGTGAAAAACCATATTTCTCCCCAATAAGCCCGTGGGGGCAAGATTCCACCACTTTAAGTCCTAATGACGTGTGTTTTCTTTTCAAAAGAAGCGCAGTGTCATTGGGCACAATTTAAAACAAAAGAAAATGATAAAAAAAAGAGCAGTCGTTGTGAGTGTCGTCAGTGCTTGTGGAAAGAGACACAACCTGAATCAACGTTGTCGAATGAAAACAATTCGAAGTGAATGGCGTTGATCACACTCGATTGCCTTCCAAAGTTCGAAATTAGAAATGATAAGTGCTTTGAACAAGCGTGTCACTCTTGATCGTCCTTGATGGATGAGCTGTCCCTTTCCATTCGTTCGTTCGATCGATTATACACACATGATCGTGGAACACACCCAAGCATTTGGCCGCTCGTCGCTTAATACTATAAGAGCCAGCATGACATATGGTAGCACTGTAGTTTATGAGCATACATATACACATGGATGCTCAATGTGTTTTTTGACATGCTGATATGCAGCCGTGTCATGATCGCCGCTTAAATCGTAATGTTTTACACTCGTGTCGAGTAGAATAATGCTAGGCGAAACAGCGAATTGTCCACAGAACCATACTTTGCTGACTGGAGCGGAAGCACCGACAATCGCTGTATGTAGGAACGACCAACAGCAGCAGATAAGGTAGCATCACTGTAGAGTATAGTTTGGTGTGGAGTCTATTGATTTTTTCTCTTACTCAGGTTGTTACAATTCGATTGTGCCAAATGAAAGGGGCACTGCTAGTAAACAGCAGAATCATTCCTATCACATCAAGATATTGAAACAAGAAGAGAATCAGTGCGATTACATATACTGCTGTGTACTATACATACAAGCAGCTGTCAAGTATCTGGATCTATGTACACGCTGCCGCCTAATTAATGCTTAGTCTAATCCGATCTATTTGGTACGGCGGGTCAATGTACGTCGTGTCAAAGGAACTATGTATCCAGGAGAACAGTATGTCATACGCAGTATAAATCTCTTTTGGTGCATACATTGTATTTTATGTGAAGTCCACTTGGGCATCAAGAGTATATATACAAAGACTGGTTGACATGTCGTTTTCACAAAAAGTAACACAGACTTATAATCAAGGGCTCATTGTTGCATATAATATAAAGTATCTATACCTTAGAAATCACTTCTATATGAGGGTGCTCTCTCAAGCAAATTGTCACCACAAGCTTCTTCTCAAGACAGCCATTAAAATTCTCGATGCAGTATGTTAGCATCCGTTACCTCATCATATAACTTCTTCCTCTGCCACTCTAAACCTACCTTTATGTCATATAACACCACCACTTCTCTTCTCCGGCCACACTTTTTTCCCCCTGGGGGATTATCAGTGATGGCACCACATTCAGCGTTTTTCTACCCTTGAACAACTAGTATCGAAAGGAAGCGACCGCATGCCCATGGCACAGGTCAACTAGAATTTCACATGATTTTTTAACTATCAACAGCGGGGATCTGGTGCACAATATATAAGCTCTTCACATACAGTGGTCGGTCCATCGGTGGGCTAGGGGTCGGGTGAAAAAGTACCCACCTCATGGGTCTACTCAATCCGTAACCCAGCCCACAGTTTACACCGGACCTCCGGGTTGATTGTAAGCTACATACGTGCAAAAACAGTCAACGATAATATGTCGTATCAGAAGAAATGCAGAGCTACATGGTTTTCCCACTTTATCTTTTTGTTTATGAGAACTGAGCTGCAAAAAGATGTAGCTAAACAGTAATAGGCTTATAGTATAAGGTTTATATTGGAATGAGTTATTACTTCTATTAATTTAACCAGCCTTTTCTTTCTTTGACTGCAAACATCAAGTAGAAAGCTTTAATATCTTACCAGAGATATGTAAAAGGTATGAGAATATACATCATTGATATGTTGTAGCCTTCGGGCCGCATTGCTAACAAAATGGTAAATGCGTAGAACAACAGAAACGAAACCTTCTTTTGGACCGCCGAGCCGTAGTGGGGCGGCAGTGAATACATTCTTACGGCCATCGTAAATTGGACGTGTTTGTTCAGGAAACATTAGTCCCCCAATGTCCACAAATGTTTTCGAACCTTTACGGTTTATGGCTGGTGGAATGCTGCTTGTAAACATGTATGATGCTTTATCCACTGGGCCAACCGTAATATCATAATGGTATATGGATGTTGTCAGAGAGAAACGAGAGCATTGTACAGTAAACGAATATGTGTGTAGGTGTCTAGATGTTCCGTGGCTGCCAGCATCAGCTCTACGCATTGCCAAGATCAGTCAAGGCCAGTGACATTCTCGTAAAACTTTTTGATTGTCGTCGATTCAAAATAAAGATAATGAGAACGGGATAAAGAAGAGCGTTTTCCAGCAAGAGATCAAGTCAAGACTTGAAACGACCCGCTTGATCTATTATGTATCAACTGGTACACAGCATCATCAATTTTATCACGGGTATCCTTCAGGTTTTCCCAACTTGCATATCCTTTATTTAAGAATATTTAGAGTTCAATTATGTCTCCTGAAAGCGTTACTGCATGTTCTACACTTGACACTTTAATTGCTATGATGAAGAACAGCACGTATTCGGGAATGGCTACAATGTTTGCTAAGCAAATTTTGCATATTGGCTATCGCTGTTCGAACTTTGAAAGAAGCCAGTCGCTCTCGACGGGCAATCCAACACATTTGGAAACCGCGTTCTACTTTTTCTAAAAGCACATAATAGCGACTTTTTCTTGCGCCGATCCACATGTCTTTAGTAATCAGTTCTTCGACTTTTAAATGAAGGCGTAACTATGTAGGCGTGATTATAACATACAAGTCTCCACACCTCCAATTTGTATCCCAACGTATCTTCAATCCCTAAGTTCTTTGCGGCCGCCACTACCGTACCTTCTTTTGAACATGAATTGATATAAATAATTTTTTTCTTCGGAGGTAACACTCCAATACAGTACACAAAAAAAATGGAGTGGAAGCAATTTAGAACACCAGCTTTTCAGTACCGTAATTTTCTGATCTTTCCTTATTCACTGATACGTAATGTCCTCTCGGCAATTTAATAAGCTTCGGTCGTTGGGATATGTAGCAACAACAGCAAAGGTTCCGGATTTTCCAATGCTATCAACATCGTTATCTGAAAACCATCTTGCTCTCATGATGCAGGGTCCAGTTTTTTGTGTTGCATTATATTCGCCCTGCTTAATAATGAAAATTGGCCTTCTGACCGACAGTTTTATAAAACCGTGTCATTTGTCATTTCCGTAGACGTGCACAACCAGAATGAATATATAAAAAGCATACTATATTGACGTCGGCTCCAATTACACGTGTAAGAACGAAAAGCCACATCTCTCCTTTGACTACCTTTAGTGAAATCCATTGCTTAAATATACCGAAAAGTGAAACTGTGGTCTTTTTGACCATTGCAGTGAGTGATGGCAGAGAAGTACTGGTGATCTCATACAAGACTCACAGCACATGACAGGTTTATGCATGTGCATCAGAGACAGTTCCAATATATACAATTAACTTGATAATTGTTAGTACCATACTTCTAGTTGCGCTATGATAATAGAATTATGTAAAGAGTACATAAATGTGAGTGATGTATGAAACAAAAAAATACGTCACCATTTATAGACGGTCTCCTGTGAGGAATTTAGTGCTGCAGAAGGTGTTCCAGATTTATACGTGACATGAATGGAAATAACAAGGCGTTCTACATATACTGTAGTGTTATTACTAGAGTACTGTGTCGAATATAAATAAAATATTTAAGTATGTAGATAAGAATATAATTGACTACATATTATGAAGACACTGACAAACAAGACTGTGGTGATGAGTTTTTTCTAATAAAACACTGTAATATGATCATTGTTGAACGAAGAAGCTGATTTTGTAAATAGAGTGAACACTTTAAAAAATCTGATCGATTGTTAAGCTTAAAGAAAAGCTTGGTCTGTTACAAAAAATGTTGAGTACATAGAGTTGGACAAGCGGCCTAGTGTAGAAGAGTACTGTATTAAGTTCATTTTCTGTGTTTATGATAATGATTTCACATAGCACTGCGTATCCACATAATGACTGTTATGCCAAACTTAAAAATATAACTTTATTTCAAAGGAAGTAAACAATCATCTCGACTAATGAAACGCGCTTGATAAGGTTTTGGTTTCATAGTAACGATATTATCACTTGAATAATAGTCAAGATCTGGCAAAGTACCATCTGAAGGAGGTTTCAAAGAACAATAGGCAAATAATCGTGTCAAGTTACAGAACAGCGTTGCTTCAGCCTTCTCCTTATAGTATATTATAGTATATTATTAACAGCAGAGATGACAGTTAATGTTGGCGGGTAATATGCTGTTTGTTTTGTGCAGCTAAATTCTATTGTTACATGTACTTACTGCATGGACACCAAGGCAAGCACGTCTGCCAAAGCCAAACAAAAAAATATCGCGGTCTTCGATTTTACCAGCGGCAGCAGCAGTGTCAGTTTTACCCAGAAATCGTTCTGGAATGAATTTGTCTGGTTCAGGATAACGATCCGGATTTTGATGCATTGCGTATAACAATGGATAGATTGGCACACCCCTAGGAAACAGGTAGTTTTGAACTTGCACTATAATATAGCAAAGTATACATGTAATTATTCGATATCATATTCTTCACAACTTTTTTTTTGTCTCTGCAGTCCCGACCAGTGGACAAAAAAACACATACCATCCTTTTGAAGCTCGTGAGGGATACCTAAGAATATAAATGGCCGGTATCGCAGGCATTCCTTTTGAACGGCTATAAAGTATGGCAATGAATCACGTTCGTATGGCAGAGGAAGTCGACCGTGCTCCTTAATAAATGCGTCCACTTCGTCACTGATTTTCTTGCAGACTGTAGGGTGATGTAAGAGGATAGCAATAAACCAATATCCTGCTGCAGTTACTGTATCGGTTCCTAATAAGAAATATGTATGAGTAGCTCTAGGTAATCAACAAAATATCCACTTCAAGCCCCTTTTCTTAAAAAGGAAAAAAAGAAGAAATGTCGGTTACCTGCGGTTATCATATCACCTACAGAGTTTCAAATATGCATAAGTAATCCGTATAACATTCTTTATCTATCGTCTATTGGCTTTCTCTTCTTCTCTCTTACTTGCTGCTATAGTTAAATCAATATCCTCTATTCCAGTTCCCGATTGGTGCTGGTGCATATGTTTAATCATATTGTCTCGGTCAGATTTTATGGCCTCTTGAATAAGCGGACCGAGCACAGCCTCACGTCTTTCGCGAGAAAATTTCTGATAAGTTTGGTGTGTGCCATTGAGTATATTTAAAAACCCAAGTATTGGTAAGAATCTCGGTATTTTGTTATCCAGGTCAGTCAATGCCAGCGCCTCGTCATTGAACGCCATTATGTGTTTGTAAGAAGGGTCTTTTACTGTTTCCACCTCAGTCCCAAGGCATGTGTTCAAAACGTAGTTCAGGGCGTTTAGCTGCAAATAATCGTAGGGATTGACATGCTCGTTCCTGATAGTCCGAGCAATTAGACCTTGAATCATTTTATCTCCTTGATTTCAAATAAAGGTGTAGTGTTGAGCAACGGCCGTGTTGGATGTAGACTTGGCCTTTGCTGAGGCTATCATATGATTCCTGTTTGTAGTGTCATTTTGGAATACGAGACCCCTAACAATAAATTATATATGGTTATCATCTCGTATTCGTTTATTTCTTTTTTGCTCTAGAATATACAAACCTTTTACCGTTTGAATAATAACGGTTGATATTTGGAAAGCGTGGACGGTTGGACGCAACTGCACCATTCACAGCAAAAAGCTCGTGTGCTATTTGTGGATCGCTGATCAGGATACATGGCTGGACACCCAACTGAACTCGTATAACAGGCCCCAGTTCCTGGTGCCAATCTCTGAACTTGTACCCGGTCAACTTGTCAAAGCATAAAAGATGGCCTACAGCATTTGGGTAACGAGAAAGGCCACCTCGTTAGAAATCTTGTACATGTATATGACGCTTATGCCCAAAAAGCAAAAGCATCCACTCACCAACATACGGTTTCATTCCCTTTGGTGTTGGAATGGTATTTAATATCTCATAATTGATATCTTCGTCGTCTGATTTTTGTAACCTATAATACGCTAGAGCCCCTGCACCAGCAACGATAGCAAGTACTAATGATGAGGGTACGTGTCCGCGAGCCCACGCAGAAGTTAAATCTTTTAAGATCATAAATCCAAAGCTATGAGTTGTAGAGAAGAATGCGGGTCAAAGAGTGTAGGAGTACAACATTGCATATATAGGCGCTAAGATCAGATTGATATGTTTAGCTGCGCGATCCAAATATTGATGCGCTTATTTATGAATGTAATGCGTGGCGCTTGCATATACTATACAAATGATGATACTTCTCTTCAGTAAATTGCAAACGACTTTCTTTTGCCTTGTCGTTAACTGTATTTTTTATATTTTTTATATTTTATGTTTTTTCTTGTGAAGGCTTTTTCATTGCTTCATGGAGGTTATCAACACAGTCTATGTGAGCTACGAGTATTGAAAAGTCTAATTGGAGGTAGCAAATTGGAGGTAGCAATATCCAAATTGATCATCTATGCCTAATCGTCGTTAGCACTCGTTTGTCCTTTTGAACTCAATTCGTAGAAGAGCTTCTTACTAGTAATACGAGGCATAGATATCTCATGTCTGGTTGTCATGCCTTTTTTTTCGATCTGTTTAAAAAAATTTCTTCTTTGACTATTAGTAGAACTTTCCTTCGTTAACCACATCATCTCTAGTGAAGTCTATTTTTCGTTTAATGACCCCTCTTTTTCACATAGTTTCTAACACACCTAAACGAAACAGTTATATATGTGACATTCGATGAGTCTGAATAATCATGACATGTGCGAGATACTGGGCTATTTTGATACTGCAAGTAGGATGGGTTGACGCCCATATGTACTACATATGCGCAAGGCTTGCATGAAAGTTGACCAGTTCACGTAAAATACTTTTACTGCAGGGAATGGCACAGAGGAAGACATGTTTATCCCCTTACTGATGTGAATTTTTTGTATGCTGCATCATTAAAAGCAACAACAGCAACAACCAGACTAAAGTAGTTAGATATTCATATTATGATAGGTTGAGCCTGAACTTATATACTGTATCATCAGTTTACGTATACAAAACAGTTGTTACTTTTGAATTTTACATGGTATTCCCACTAATATTAGATTTGCCATCCTTGTAATGCTTTGTGGTATGGAAGCACAAAATAAGACCCACACCTCAAGCGATCAAGAGAAAAAATCACCCCTCCGGAGTGCACTAGTGTAAGCAACAAACAATAAAAGACAATCTCTGTTGTTTGAATTCAATCACATGTGTAGCGTTTGAAACCGAGCCGCACAGCTTAAAATCTGGAAATAATCCGTCTCTATAATGACATTGAGCCGACTATCAATGACATTATCACTGGGCCATGTACTGTATAAACACGAATAACCACGACCAAGCCCAACTATCATATTATGATATTGGTAGAAGTTTTTATAGGTTCGTTCCGATCCGAAGATAGCCGTTGTATAGGTGTTCCAAGACGTACTTGAGTAGCGAAGTACATATTGGCATCAAAGAAGGAAAACTATTACTTCGTGTCAGCAAGCGAGCAAGTCAGCTAGTGAGTGATAATAGCTTGTTCGGCAATAGCGCCTCCATAACAGACACGCTGACGCATAAAAAGTGTAGGTACAGATAATTGCCAGTGAACAATAATGAAAACCTTCACAGTGACATACACGCAATGCTCGTGCAAAAATCCAAGTGGGTCGGCAAACTAGAAGACCAGATGAGTACACAGAAACCGTATGACCACGATAGATTCAGGTTCTCGCAACAAGCCAGTGTAATTATTATTAGTTCAATTTTCCTGCATATCATTGAGTATCTAGTACATGATAACTTTCCACGTAGTTAATTATTCATTGACTCAAAATCACTATAAATCAGCTACAAAAGTATAGAGATTAGCATATCATGCCGTTCTTATTATCTACTTACATACTTTGGTCAGATACTTTTGACATACATATTAGGTGCAGCGTTTTCAATTTCTTTAATCTTCTCTATGACTCTACCGACAAGTGAGATAAGGTTGCCCTGCTTGCGGTGTCAGTAATACAAGGTTTGCCAAGCACATACATCTAGTTTGGACACTCTTTCATCGTCTGATTTTAGCAAAGCGCTGCATCAAGCATTTGCAAGCCCCCTTTTTTTTACTTAACGTGCAATAGCATTAATCAAATGTGACAAGTTCATGTTTACATGAGGAAACGCAAGTACATACAAGGTTGAGAAGCTGCTGTGACCCATCTTCTAATACCATTACTAAGATCAGCACAACTTGAAACCCCAGTGATCTCGCTTTGAGCTTTTCGACTTCACAGAGATCATGTAAATTTCAAAAAAGAGTATTATTAAAGTAGGGTTTACCGATAAGTGATCCGTTTTAGTTTTATGCCTACAACATACACAGCAGATAAAACGATAAGCTTGGGTAGGTGGTCGGAAATGCTTCTTCTCTTGGACATGATATATTACTGTACTCACCATTTATAATACCTAAGGCACAATCATATTTCGTACTAGTTTGGGAATTTCTTAGCTCGTTTTTAACATTAGCTATAGCTACAAAAGATAACATGCCTCTTACCTGAACACATAGAAGCTTTGAAAGCAGAGTAGATCGATGGTCTGGGCTATGTGCCTCGCTGTGCTAAAGGTCAACCTCACCTCCAGCGTCGGAATTCTGGAAGTTAAATTTCATTGCTGCCAAACGCGTACTTTGTATCTTCCCATTATCTAAATAATTACATACACACACATACACGCATCCGTTTAAGCATCCCTACTATGAGCGATGCAGAGCCACAATCAAAACGCATAAAACTTTCCTTAGAACCGTCTGTCGAGAAACCACCAACCGACATTACAGACCAGGGCGAGGAAATATACCAGGAGTACGTTTGCAATGGAGAAACAAAGAAAAGACAGAGTCAGTTACTTTTCCGTGAATCGAACACTGATTTCATAGATTTATAGTGAGCCTTCGCTACCCGAAAAACTGATGGAAAAGGTGGATCGGATCTGGTACGAACGAGGCGACTGGCGCAACATTACCGAAGAAAGTTTAAAGACTTCGATTCAAAACAAAGAAGAAAATGATGGCGAAACTAGCGACGCGATCAACGATATGCAGTCAGTCGTGCCAGCAGTACAACAGCAACCTCCTGGTTTTGATATTGTTAAAGTACGCGAATCAGTTGTCAACAAACTTTTGTAAGTTTTCTGTTTACGACATGGAACAACTAGCGTAATTGGATAAAAGGCCGAAAAAGAACTACGTTTACAGAAACAACGAAACTGAAGCAAAACATATATAACAAAAACGATAGTCATGCCAAAAGCGAAATCGACGTAGCGTTAGACGTGATCAATATACTGTTATCCCAGAATCGGCCCGGTACACTGTCGAAAGATGCAGTTTTGCCATTACCAGCGGGATCGTTGCACGCGACCTATGTCGCCAGACCAAGACCGACCAACAAAGCACAACTTGAATCAGCTCAATTGACGCTGGGTCTGAAGCGTAAAGTAAATAGAGAAGGACACTGTAATGACTGGCAGAAGGAGGAGGGATAAATTGCTCCTATGTAAAAACATGAGGCTGACATATTGCATGTGTAATGGTATGTTAGCAACAACGAGCCGCGTCCGAATTTTTACGATCTAGTGCAGCAAATCTCAAAAAGCTGGTCGAGGTTGAACAAACATTCTGGGACGAAGCATTGGATTTACGACGAAATAATTGGTTAATGCAAGCGAACACGGCTCCGCCTGCTATGGGAGGGTTGTCCGTATCGAATGCAGGAACATCATTTTTGGTGCGCTATGGCTATACTGACGGTAAGCAAGACTTCATGACTCAGTGTATTACGCAAATCGAGAGTAAAAGAAGGAAAGAAAGAAAGATGTTTCTCACTTTTGTGATCTAGTGGGTTCCGATTTCAGCGAAGTGTCGTATGGCGAATTCAGTAGAGCAGAAGGCGACGATGACGATGCAAATACCCAGACACAGCTTAATTTACCGCACAATGTACAACGTCGCCTTGTTGCTAATGTCAGAAAATGCCATATGGAACGACTTGCGCGTCAATTTGAACTTTCATCGGAAGTTATCATGGGCACATCGGAAAAAGGAGAGGAAGGCGAGACAAAAAACGGTAATCGCTGTATATCTCCTTTGACGTAGATGTTTTAAAGCTAATTCTCGCTTTTAATAGAACCAATCCCGTCACTGTCATTGGATACTCATCAAAGCAAGGTTCAGCAGCAACTTGTTGAAGCACAGGCTACAGTGTTTGATGCTGAACTCTATTCTGCAGTAAGTGCTACAACCAAACGATCTTTTCAACTTTTTGATACTCGTTGTTTTGAAGTTTTCAAACTTAAATTCTACTTTACCTATCTTAGGTGCTGTCAGAAGCTCAAGGTTTAACGAATACCAACGACGTGCATTTTGCGGACGAAGAGATCATTGTCAATGTGGACGGACATGTCGACCTTGCTATCCAACGCGTTCAAAAGACCAAAAACTGTAGCAGCAGCAATGGCGACGTTACCATGACAACCGTGAAATGTACTACACAACAGATGGCTGGACGATCACTTGACTTAGCACTTCGACTTTTGCTTATTCAACGACATCGATTCAATATGTGGAAAAGCCGTGCACGATTGCTATGTTCCAGCAGGAAGACACAGCAACTTCTTGCATCCATCGGAGAGTCAGTCACATACCAAGGTGCATCAGCTGGTCCTGGTGGCAACACAACTGGTGGCGGACCTGGATCAGCACCTAGCAGCAGTGGCAGTGGTGCTGGCGGAAGAACCAGTCGACTGCAACCCCATCATCATACGCAAGCAGGCCTTGCAGTAGTGGCTCCTAGAACACGCAAAATCAACCCTGTGGTGCCTATTTTATCAAACGCCTTATCCATGTGCAAATTCTGGGTTCTTTTCGACCGCGTGCGGCAACTGGTATATGATGTGATTGAGCCATTTAGTAGCGAAGGTGGCGTGGATCTAGCGGTACACTATGAAATGCATTCTGAAAGCCAGCAACGACGGAAAGCTTCAGTGTGTGATGCTTATCCTGATGTGAGTGATATGTCAATTACCTTGAGTATCGCCATCAAAAAGGGACAGTTCCTCCTATTCCGACTGCACCAATCTGGCAACATTACTGTACGATTACCGCAAGGACTCGTCACTTTGAGCAATATCAGTGAATTTCAGGCACTTTTGATCCGTGAAATCAATTTGATCTGCCTGCGGATGGTATGCGATGCGGCAAACGACATTGTACGTAATTCTCCTTCGTACAAGACAGCAACTACCAGCGAGCAGGCACGGTTACTGTGGAAGGTCGATGATATTGAGGAAATGATTAATGGATCACTTTGGTGGGCTTTGGATCCTTTATCAGGAAAAAGCCATGTCTGGCGAAGCATGTAAGTCATTTCACTCTCTCTTCATGCGCAGCGTATTTACTGATATTTTGTAAACTGACAATAATTTTTGTCCATCCTCGTAGACAAGTCCAATTGATCAAAACCAAAGTGGACACCACCAAACCAGCATACCAACTCCAATTCCAGTTACTTTCACCACCCAAGAACCAGCCACCACTGTCTACTATCACACGCGAGATTTTATTGGCAAGAAATTATACAGAAGGATGTCAAGGAGAAGGTGCTCTGACATTCAGCGAGCGTGTGAAGATGATGGTAGATGATTTGGTGCGGGAGGCTGCTGTTGCTCAAAAATAACTACAGTATTAATAAAAAACGAAAAGGGAGGACTATTTACATGTTGATGGCAAACAAGGATCGCCACATGCTTGGCTTGCTATGTTGGATTTTGTTGGGTTGTAGTGTGCGCGTGACGATAGCGTCGTTATACAGTAGTCGACCGTTCATAATTTGCTTCAAATCGGGTATGCACATGGATGGATCAGGATGTGGTTGGCCTGCGTCGAGTATGTAAAAGGGACTGGATGGCGAAACCAATATTGGCTGAGCGTTAATAGTACCAGTGAAAAACATATTGAGCGCAGTGTCAGAGCACTGAGGATGTGCATAGAGATAGGCGTAAATTTCATCAGGAAGCAAACAAGAGAAGGCGTAGAGCAAATCAGATTTGATAAACATGGCTGTGGAGTGGATCATACTGTATCGGCCGTCGGTGGTTCTGGGATGGATACTGCCACTTTTTCGGTGAACAGATGCGTCAAATCCGACAAGAGCGTCTGGATGGTTCTGCCATACTGCAAATGCAAATTCTAGATCTCTGACAGCAGAAATGATCTAGAATTTATGAAAGGAAGCACATGGTTCGTTGGTAATAATCTCTTTTCTCATCATCAACCTACTTTGGCACATAACGGCAAGCTCTACCTACTTTGTCATCGAGTAAAAGAGTCGCTTGTGTGTCTATCCGATGAACGAGACTAAACACATTTTCTGAAGATGAGAGCCATTCGATTGGAATGCCCGATATCCGTTCCGGCATATTGCTTCCACCTCGATCCTTTGCCATCACAAAAACCTTTTCTACCATGCTTTCCCTTGTATTATCCTTGGTACTGCTCAGCAACACTAATAGGCTATCAATGTATTCCTTCCATGTCGCATTGTCCATCTGAATGGACGATGAGAGCATAATTGTAAACTTATTTTTGACTGGATAGCGTCTAAGATAATTGCTCTTCAATTGTGCAAGACATGATCTAGGCACGATCTCGGGCTCGCTTGCGGGAAATATATTGGCTATAATAAACATAAGAATATTTATCAGCATAATTACGCAAAGATATCCAGTCCCATTCATTTCGTATTCGTAAACGAACTGGCTTTCCTCACCCTTCTTACCTTGTGTCGGCCTCGATCGCATATTCCGAGCGGTCTTGACCCATTGATCAAAGAGGAAAGTGTCGTAATTATCACGCCATTCACGGTTGTGTATGTAATAGAAATTCCAGGGCTTGATTTCGCTGGTAAAGTGGACTATTCTGACAGTGTTTCTGTAAACATGGCTAGATACCAAGTTCGATAAATGCTGTGTATGCAATACATTATGTTTAGTGAATGCTTTTGCAAGTAGCTGTAGCACTCCAAGTTTTTTTTAGAAAAGAAAGGACGACTTTTCTTACCATGAACTTGATCATGAGATTGTATTGTCCCGGTAGTACATGGACAGATGATGATTGGTTAAAATACCAATTGAGGAATCCTTGGTCGCCATGGTTGTAACTAGGTGATTTATCGTAGATAGTCATGATATCTCGAAACGTTTCGCTTGATGGTTCAGCGACAAATACGCCCGTATTCACGACACCGCCGGCGTCCATGGCTGCACTGAACTGAGGTTGCAGGAACAGTTCGTCGATCGGTTGTACAACAAGCGTGTCTGCGTCTAGGTAGACAATCTGTATGTGATACAAATATTATCAACATTGTCATGTGAGTAATCGTAAGGCGGGGTCCTTTCGTGTGTTAACCCATCATCTATATATATCATCCATTCTGTGGTGATAATGATGATTACATCTGTTTTGACCAACCTTTCGGTATTCGGTGAGGTTCCATAAATAAAGTTTTGAGTATCGACATGCCTTGTTGTAGCCCTCCTTTACGACCGATGCAGTGGACTTCCAAGGATATTTGATCTAATTGTATTAGGGCGCATTAGAGTGTGATATGAGATACAAATAGTATGCACGAGTATAGGGCACATACTGATAGTTTTTCTCTTTTTCTATGTACTCTTTCCCTCCTACAAAATCCGTTCTAATAATGAATATTTTGTTTTATTGTTTTTACCTCTTCTATTTCCACTATCCGAGCACCAAGAGATTCCAGCTGCTCCCGTACGGTCTGTGATACCGGTGGAAGCACGAGAACAACGATGTCGTGTTTCGTTTTAGCATTCACAACGAGCGAGTGGACCAGCACTTGCGTCGCCTGTGACTATGATTAATGCTCCAATATGAGCCTGATGCCGTAATACTTAACGGATACTGATGCCTCATATCTGTAAGTATGTACCATAATATCGTCACATAGAAACGTGACATAAGCAAATGGCCCAGTATGAACAACGTCTGCGTTTTGCACAGTGTCGCGATCAGTATTATTGTCATCGTTATGCACCAGTAGTGTATTGTCTTGGCTATTCGACGAAGGCCACCATCGTGGTGAAAAGAGGAAATAGAATACGCCAACGCACCAACAGAGTGCTGCTGTTATGAAAAGCAGTCGTCTGTTCGGCATGACTTTTTATTCAACAACGAAAAGAAGAAAAAGAACGTAAAAACAATGGAGACGTGAAGAAGCGAATAATGGGATAATAAAATTGAAAGCTAAGCCATTTTAAGTATAGCTTGTCTTTTTTTGAAGATCACATTGAAGTGGTAAGGTGGTAGCGGTAATAGCAGTGGTAGCAGGTACAGCAGCAGCAGAGGCAAACATGGCTGCTTCATCTTGTTTTAATTGCTTCAAGATCCTAACCGAGTAGCATATGGTGAACACAGATATCAATGCACCAATCGTTCCCCAAGTGATACTGCTTGCAATGACCACTGTGTCGATATCGAATGAGAAAATGTAAAACAGCTTCAACCCGAACTCTAGCTCCAGGAAGACAATGTCGATCGCTGTGAGAAGACGTATGTGCAGTCGACAATAACGCGAATTCCGCCAATAGAATAGGATGCGTGCTTGAGGTCGTTTACTCTCGTTCACATAAACTGGTTTGAGTGCTGCCAAGTCTTTGGCGAGGTAGTACATGATCGGTTTCAACTCGAAGGATCGGATACGGACTGGCAATAGTGACAATGCGCACGTTGCTCCTGCAGCTGCTGTTCTATTGGAAGAGCGGACCCAATTGTTTGTTCACACGTTATCTTCTCTACGTTTTTGCGTGCCACAGACTCAATGACCTCATTCGATGTTCTCTTGTTTTCTTACATTAGCGATTCACGCATGAGCATGAGTTTAGGATCGCCATTGGCAACGGCCAATACGATGGACACGAGAAAGCCTATTCATATTATAAGCTAGTTGATAAGTCTTTGTTTTATCATTTGCTGGTGTATATGGTCCGTAAGAGAGTAAGCGTGCAGTGTCTATTACCACATATGGACGCAACACCGATGGTATCAATGTATCTGAGAAACGTTGCTTGGATGAGGACAGATATGATTGTGGGGGTGCTTGAAAGTACCAATGCCCATACGGGTGGCAAGTGAGGTTTCAAGGCATAATATAGCAGGATGGGCGTGACAGCGTTCACAATAACAATGTACGCGATTCGTCGCATAACAAGGCATCGTTGGGTTTGGGTTGATAATATCGAAGCGTGATCGTTATCGTCATCCTTCTCGCTATGATGTTGGATGTTTTTGTCGTCACCGACAACAATGTCTGATGGTTGCTGCTGCTGCTCGTTGTTTATTGTGGAGTCCATATGTTTGAAAACACTGTTGAGTGATGATGATCCAGTAACAACCAATTTACTATTATTTTCTGTCGTTGATTCTTGTTGGTCTTTTCGGACCAGCATTTTTGCTGTTGTTACAACAAAAAAAGCAAAGAAGAATCAAAACCATGAAGAAAAAAGGGGTTGGTGGTGAAGCGCAACATGTTGCTCTTGCTGTTGTGGTGTGGTGTGCATGCAATGGGAATGTTAATCATATCCTTTTCTACCAGCCCAAAAGCCAATAACAACAACGCATACAGAAGTATATGGTCTTTGTATCTATCTGCATTACAACCGACAATTGTACAGGAGAAAATAAGTTCTGTTTAACCCGTTTCCGGGTGTGTGCATTGTGCACCGATTTGCGCAATACATCGTCATATAAGTCCATCTATTCTATGTTCGTGGCTGTAACGATACATAATAGACAATACCAGAGATACACTATTCGTTAGAAGCAGGCCTTCATACTGCATTTATGTTCAGGAGCTATTTCAGTGATATCTTTATATTTTGTTTTGATCATGCATAGATAGCAACAAGAAACTTAAAAAGCATCATTTACACCGAATAAGAACATAATGCACAAACGAATACATATACAAATGAGGTCATCTTTCGATAACAGAGAGAAGAATGAAGGGAGAGGAGGAATAGTTTACAAGAACAACAAACGGATAGCTATTAAAACATGACCACACGCACGTTATCATTGAAGGTTACAGACTTGTTTGACGATGACTTTATGACGTTACTACTCTCGTCCGCCCTCAACGGCCACGTGCATTCTGTCATGTTCTTTCCTAGTGCTGTTCTGGCTGTCGGTGACCGGTACCGTCGGCGCTGACTCCGTTTGCTTTTGTTGTTGATGCTACTGCTGCTAATCCCATGACTGTCGTTATAAGTATCGACGTTCGCTGGTAAGCAGGAAGCCAGCAGTTCGCATATGGCTAGATCAAGCTGTGCGTCTTGACGATGGTTCTCACGGACAACGGCGTCCTGGCGGTCATAGTACTGACAGTATTCGCTCCGCAGCGAGTCACGTCGTTGTTGTGTCATGGTTATACGGGTAAAGGAGTGAAAAATAAAAGAGCAAAAGTAGAAAGGTTTTTTATGTGTTGGAAGATAAAAGGAGTTGGGCGCCTTTTTATATTTTTTTTTTAGGTCTGTGCACCTTGCAATAAAGCTTTCTTTATGTGCTCTCTTTTCAAGGTCGCGGGAACCAGCGCCGGAGGAAAAGGCGCAGCGATTCCGTTGCCGCTGCTGCCATCCTGTATTTCTTTTGTTTCCTTTTTGGAGCTGCGCACCTTTCGTCAATGTTTAAGCTTAACGGAGTATCGTGTTTGTGACGCTAATGCTTAACGATATACACAAAGTATCGTCTACTAATACGATCGGAGCCGCTTTAGCTCTACAGTAAGCGGGTATGAATTAGTCCATGTGCTGCTCAAGTGCCACAGTAAGGAAACTTTGTCGTCATACTGGTTGTTTCTCTTTGACTCGCACAACATCTTTTGACATCTTTTGACCATTTCCCATTGCCCTTTTGCATACATCGCACAAGAAAGAATTTTCCCCTTATGGCAACAAGTTACTCAATCTTTTGCCCAATACAGTTTTAACACGCCGATCTGAAGAGCATTACACATAGCCTGATACTCACAGCCCATACGTCTTATATTAGATCAGCGAGGTACACTCTAAGTACAGGTATTAGCTGATTAAACCAATTTTATACCTAATTTTCTTATGGCAATTGGTGCCGACGAGGGAAAAAAAGGACTTTTAAGACCTCTTTTGCAGTATAGATTCTTTCGCATCGACCTGGTCACTAGTGTAACATTAGAGAGTCGGTGGGCTCGGCTACATATGGACATCCTCTATATTCTCATTTATATTATCTCTTACATGCCGCTTGCATTACGCTTCAAAAAAGGTTGGAATCTCACTTTTCTTCAGCGCCAGTGTCGTATGCCGGGATATGAAACTGCGGATTGTGCTCGATTATGCAACCTGTCATTGGTTTCTCCATGGAGACCGACAAAAACACAGGTTCCGAATGTGAACATTGTCATGTCAACAAGACATATCATCGAGAAAAAGTGAAGATTCTTCGGGGATTTACAAAAGAAGCTTGTTCGTGGTACGACCAGTTTTATGCTTAAAGAACCAAGAGTGTGCTGTCCAGCAAATCGATTAATTCAGCGATATGTATCATCGGTACTCTCTACGCATCACCGCTCACTTGGATACCTTACAATGCTTCTCTGTGGAGCTTGATAACCACTGTGATTGATATCAGAAGCCACAGTTTGCTTTATACAGATAAAAAAAGTCCGTCCATCTCTCAAAGACCGCGGGTGAGAGTCTAGATGAACTTAATTCATAGGGCAGATAGATTAGCTGCGTTATCCACTTGAAGCATCTTCTATGAGTACTTGTTCACACCTCCTTTTCGTTGGACAAACAGATTTATTACTTCATTATTATCATCTTGCTGTGTGTGCGCTCATTCTTCTCTTTCCTCAAACGCCTTCTCTAGTTGACTCCATCCTCACACAGTAAAGCAAATCCTTGTCCGATGATAGAGACTTTGAATTATTGATCCACTGATGCAATATCTTATATTTAAAAGTACAAAAATAGACCGTGTGATGGTGTTGTAGTGATATAAACAAGTCTGCCGTCTTGTGCCAAATCGTGCAACATTAGTTAAAGCGTTATAGCTGAAATTGAAGCTAGACAGCTTAGCTGGCTTCACTCTACTGTATCATGTACTTTGCTGCAAGTGTTTTGTAATACTGCTACACAAATTGTCAATTAACATACTACTCTTACTTATTTTAATTTCCCTCGCTTAGCAAATTGTATAGCCAATTCATTAATGAATATGCAATCTTCAAGGGTCAGTTCCTCTAATGACAGTGTTGCGTCTATCATATTTAGTCTAGTGTGTTCTGTTATGTTCTTTTATGTTTGTAACGGGAGTTCTTGCAAACATGGCAAACCAAGTGAGATGATTATATCGTACTAGATGTTTTTAAGTCCGCCAAGCGAAACGTTCTCCAGTTTTCTGGGATCGCCCTCGTATATAAATTCTAATACTACCGTGCTAAGCGTTAGTACCTCGGCTAGAATCTCGTTCATCACCTATTTAATCCTTGCAATCTATCGGTTTCGATAACTACAGACGCATCAAATCATCCTGTGCGTCTGTACGTTAGGTGTGATGATATGGATTACCCTGAAAGATGGTAAGGTAACAACGTGTCGACCAACGTAGTTATATTGTGTGTGCCATCTGCACTCTAAAACTTGAGGAAATTGCAACCCGCAAGTGATCGTTCTACGAAACCATCTTGAATTGCGTTCAAACGTCGCGGTATACTGTTTGATTATAGGTAAAAAAGAGTACTGTCATAAACACTATTTTGAGTGTACAAACGTCGTAAACCGGAAATCTCGGTCCAATCAAGTGTATCTCCCCCTCCTTCTGCGAGATCGCCGTCAGAAATTATTGCGAAAGGACATAAGCCGGAAGTTGTTGCTGACGATATCTACAATAGCAACGTCCGGGCAATCGTCGATCAATAGCACCTACAGGTGTTTACCACATCGTTATAGCAATGGTTCAAATGCTGAAGTTTTATAAATCGAAATCATTTGTAGGCATCTTGAACTTCTTTTTCAAAGCTGAAAAGAGCATATGCGCGGTGATCGAGTGCAGTGAACAATAATGGGTGGTTGATCAGTTCGACGATCGCTGACGTGAATCCAATAGTACGGTTCAAATCATCATCATCGATAGCGTTGCCAAGTTCCGTACTTGGCTTCGTTCACGTCGATAATGTGCTTTGGGTTTGTAGATAACGGATTGTTATTAAGCATTTTCTAGTATCCCGTTGGAGACGAAAGGAACACAAAGTCTTCTATTAGCGAGGCTGTGAATTCCTAAAGTAGCTGTCGTCATACGCATATAAAAACTTAATTTATTCTCAAGCTAAATACTTTCTTTCTTTGTTCCTGCCGTTTAATCAAATGTCACCAAAAGTTACGCTTGACCCTGTATATGCTGCTTTTTGTGAGCAAGTGAAAACTGCACCTAAAGTGAGTGATGGTACAATATCACTTTCCCAAATGCGAGTTGCAGCAAACGAGCGAAGCAAATCAAGCATAAACAGTCTCTCTTTGCCTAAGGTCATCGAGGAAGATAAGACTGTTATCCATAATGGCATCGAAGTTCGCTTGACTTTGTTTCGTCCGCCGCGAACCGAGAAAGACATCCTCCCAGTTGTCATTTATTAGTAAGTGGCGCATTTTTCGATTGCCGTGATTGACCTTAAGCCTGACTGCATAATGATTTGATGGAAAGCCATGGTGGAGGGTTTGTTTTTGGGTCGAAGTTTACTCATGCTAAACCTGTACGAGATGTAAGTTTAAAAAATAAATAAATGTTAGTTTGATATTTCTTACTAAAGCTGAACTTTAGATTTGCGTGGGAAATCATGTGGTCGTTGTATTTGTGGACTATTCACTTGCTCCCGAGGTAAAATGCCCTGTAATTCACGAAGAATGCTTCGCAGCACTATCGTGGGTTGTCGAAAACGGGGACTCTATTAAAGCCGATACAAGCAGACTGGCCATCTGTGGCGATTCAGCAGGGGGCAATGTATCTGCGTGCATCCCACGTAAGTGAATCGTTATTAACTTTATCGCTTCTAAGCGAGCGAGAATACAGTAGCACGTTAAAAAGACAGAAAGCTTAAGTAATTATGCTACTTTACGCTAGTGATGGCAAAGGAACGGGGTCTTTCCGATGCCATAAAAACACAAATACTAATTTATCCGAGAACGGCGGCTTCCCGAGATCACTACGAGTCCTTTCAAACTTTCGGCAACGGCGACTATTCTTACTCGGCTCAGGACAACAGGTTTTTTGATCAAGCCTATACAAATGGTAGAGAAAAAACAAAAATTGGATACCCATTACTTGCCACACAAGAAGAGATGAAAGGACTTCCACCAGCCCTGGCGTTTATTGCCGAGGCAGATATCTTACGCGACGAAGGCGAAGAATACATAAGAAACTTGACTGCAGCTGGTGTACCTACTTTAGCAATTCGAATTCTCGGTGCAAGTATGTTCATTTCTCGCGTCAAAATTTTTGGCTTGACTTTATTATATACGGTTGCTGCTATCATTGGAGGTGCTCAATTGTTTATTTCTATAATTTTGCGTATGCCAACTATACAGTCCATGGGTATCTAACCGTTCCTGTGGAGACACCAGCTTATAAACAGACAATGTCCTCGATAAGCAATCATCTGAGACGTGTTTTTAATGGGAGAAAGTAAAATTGGATTATGCAATATCATGAGTATTCCCTCGGCAACATGAAGTTACACACGAAGCTAGAAGAGGACAGGCATTATAGCTAATTAAAGCCAGGTCAAACCCATGCAATTATGACTTCTTTGTGTCATGTTTTTAAAACAATTGTGTTCATTTCGTTTCAGATCCTTTTGCCATCACGTAATACTGTAAGATTAGCCTGGAACTATTATATTCCAAAGCATCGATTATACATTAGAACCTTGATGTCCACATAAGCAGTACCGGATTTATTAAAAGCCGTTCCAGAAACACATGACAATTATGCACTGATATTTTCATAAAGCATCTATTATGTAAGATAATATGAATAAGTGCCCGGCGGTATCATATTATGATGGCTGAAATGCGAAATTTCAAAGCATATGCCGATAAGCATTGTCTAGGCAAAGCCACCGAGAATCACAGCTTATACGTACTACTGTATGAAAAGTGGTAAGTCGTTAAAATGATGTAAACAGAATTAAGGTTCCCAAACCATACCACAACATATTTGTATAGTCATATGCGTTACAGCAAAATTTGTATAATAGCCTATAATCAGCTTTTGCAAATATTTCAAACTGATTGACTACATCCCCTTGCTGCAAAAAACGGGGGTTGGCTCTCTATCAAAGGGGCAATTATATGATAGCATAAACTATGCAGGAATAATGTGGATAAACGTACGTTAAAACGTAGCATGTGTTGTGCATCTTTGCGTACAGCATAGCTTTCAGCTACGCGCTCTTTTTATCTCTATGTGAAAGAGATATTTATTGCCTCTGGAAGCAGATATAAAATTGAGATGCATGTGTTCTCCTGCTAGAACATTGATAATAAGCAGTTACTTTTACATAAGAACATTGCTGCTGAGTATAAGCGAAAGCATGAGCTGAAATTGATTTATCTTATCAAGAGAATATAATACAATTAAAACATACATTATATAGCGCAAACCGCTTAGTATTAGCTTTAAGTATCAGTATATTTACCTCATCAGAGAAGACACCATTCACCGAAATTGCAGCAGAATTTTGATATACTAAGCAAGTGTGTGTAGTAGCACCTTGTTTCTAGGAGAAGGTAGGAGCGGCGACGTTTTCTATTACGTTACTATACAAACGATGTTATACATGTTCTTGCGTAACAGAAAGGGGGAAGTAATCTTTAAGAGTATTGTCAAAGTCTCTTTTGAATCCCCTGTAGTGTACCCGCTTTTTGTTATAATAATCAACAGGTCTCTATATCTCTATTACACAGAAATGGGGGCGTGCGTATGCACGACGATAACGCTAATGCATATCAGATACGTAGGAATCTTGTGTTTTTATGCACGTATTGTATGCTTTTCCCGTGTATTCAGTCATTGAAGGAATGTGGCTCCCAGCAGCTTCTGCAGTAAGGAATCTATGAGGGGACCCACAGCTAATTCCAGTATATCATTGTATGCGTTCCATTTCATCTTGTAGAATGAATCCACAGCTCTTAAAGCTACATTGCTTGATCGATTATAATTTTGTATGTACAAAAGATGAACAGTCGTCTTCCCTAGCTGGAGAAATTCGTGGAGCTCCATAGAAGACACAAGATAATATCGCCAAATAAGGAAATGATTTTCCTCTTCCGGTGTAGGAAGTTACAAACCATCAAAGCATCGGTTGAGGATGATGATGGAACCACTTACTTCCTCACGGCGTGGAAGAAGATGTAATGTGACCCTTTTATAAACACATATCTCTTCCTCAGATATAAATGAAAGCATTCATAGACGTACTGTCCTGGAAAGGGTAATATGTTAAGAATTAGACTCGATAAGATAATTCCTTCTATTTTCAATAAAGATCAAGTGACCTAGTATGATCTGCTTTCCGTTATCATTATCAGTATTACGAACGTACTTCAGTGTTTTTTTTTCAATGATGCGTGCGTAAGATTGTGTGTGTCTAATATGCATGTCCCAATAAAAGCACACGACCGCTTACTTATTTGTTGCGGTGCATCAATTTGTAGAAGAAGATACTGCCAGTATTGACGACAAACGTGTTTACTTTTTGATTGTCGGGATGCTCGATGTAATCGTATTCTCCAGTATTTAGCAATAGACGAAAGGATGTCATTTTGTTTTTGATCATATTCAAATGGAGGAAAAGAGCATCGAGAGCTGCATACAAAATCAATTAACTGTATGTTTATAATCAAATAAAACATAAGAGTCTGCTGATGCGGAAGATGAATAAGATAAAGATAAGAAAAAAAAATTGGAGATAACGGATTCTGTGTGTGGGTGAGTTGCGTGAGACAGTTGGCCTGTCACACCTTGAGTGAGTTTATTCATCACTTTACAGCACCCAAACACTCGTCATTCAAAAAGACAATTTCGCTCCCGTCCCCGTTACAGACATGGTCATCTCACGGTACCTTCATGATCCAAAATGGCAAACCATCTTTCGCCTATTACCATAATTATCATATGCATACACCTCTTCTTTTCTAGTGGTTGTCTTTGACTTTTTTGATGTAGTGATTCGGACGACAACAGAAAGCAGCATCTTCTTTGGATAACCTGAACCAGACAGGAAACCGATGCGATTACTGCATAGGACAATAGAGCTGGAAAAACGTTACTGGATCTGAGCATAAATAAAGGTTTAAGCGACGTGAAACCCGGGATACTGTCATGGTCCATTCCTAGAAAAGCAGAAAGACGGGTTGCACAATTATGTTAGGAGAAATTGTGGAAGAGATTAGTTGCGGGGTGAGCAATCAGCATGGTGTGAGCCGGCCAAGTTGTATCATAGCAATGCAAAGTGCAGACATCAGAACACTTTAGGCGGCGGCCAAGCGCAGATAGCTAAAGTAGGTAGATCTATATAACAACTTTTTCTACACACAACAAGGTTCCGAAGGCACTCTGCTTGTTGTTTTTGCGATATACATTGACTAAATATCGACAATTATGGTCCTAACGGCAGAGATTCATGTTTCATTGGTGAGAAAAAAAATCTTATCACATTCCATCCGGTTTAGACAAGTGGAGGCTAAGCTGATTTATTGATGCTCTTTTAGATACGACAAATTATCATGATGGCAATGATCGGCCAGTTCCGCGGACACAAAACTCCGTTTTCGTGAATAGTGCCTGAGCGACGGCTTGAAACCGTGATCGGGGCCGGAGCAAAGAATGATAATAATAAGCTAAAAATTAGTAGGAAGTTCACAACTTCTTTGACAGTGAGGCGCGAAACAAAGCGAGAGCAAATTGAGCGATTGATCCTCGAGTTTGCAAGGTTGAACGAAAGGATCTTATCTGTTTTATTAGACAAGGCAAAGGTATGGAAAGGAGGAGAAGGCGATAATCTGGAGCAAGCACAGAGAGGATAGACCAATCAACGAAAGCTGATAGCGCACCATCGGAGTCAACCATCTTTTGTCTTATCAGCCCGCATGCTATTTTTTTTTCTTATCTCTTTTGCTGCAGCTGCCTTTTCCCGTCTAGTATCGATTGTGTTGTGTGTGTGTGTGTGTGTGTCTGTTTGCTCCTTTCTCCTTCTTCTTTGACTTCTTATTTTGGCCTTTGCACTCTCTTTCTCTTTCTTTTTTATTTATAAGTTTTTTTTGGGCCTCGCGTGCTTCCTTGTCTCTGTACCCCCAAACCTTTCAAATCGTTCTTGTATAAAAACCCTAGACTTACCTCCGACTCGATCTTTGTCCACCTCCTTCTTCTCCTCTCTCTCTCTTTCCCTCTCTACTTCTGCCTACATCATGGACGCAAAGCCTGACTACACAATCGACTCGGGCAACACAGCATGGACCTTGATGTGCGCGACCCTCGTGTTTCTAATGGTAAATTTCCTCGCCGTTTAGAGCAACAACTCGCTTTTTCTTCTAAATACACAAATCAGCCATTAACCAAACATGGACAAATTTACCATTAGACGCCTGCACTGGGTCTCTTCTATGCTGGCCTTGCCAAAGCCAAAAACGCTCTGTCATTGATGTACTTGACTATGCTTTGCGTTGCCGTGGTATCATTTCAGGTATATAAATATACACTTCTCTTGGTAACTTGTCAGCCTTGATTACGCGGCATACTTAACTAACATTCCATATATCGATAGTGGTATTTAATTGGCTATTCGCTTACGTTTTCACCTACAGCCAACTTTTTCATCGGTGATGCGAGTACGTTATTGATTTGATCTACCCAACAAACGCATAATCACACTCGTTTACGTACGCCAAAGCACACGATCATCTAACGAACAATGAACACATCTTCTTTATAGCCAATTTTTTGATGCGTGGTGTAGGCGTCAAACCCGCCTTTGAGGGCCAAACCATTCCTGCCATGGTTTTTATGATCTTCCAGTCCATGTTTGCTTGCTTAACGCCTGCACTTGCATTTGGTGCTGCCGCCGAACGCATGTCTCTCGGCCCATCGATCGTTTTCATCTTCGTATGGACCACCCTTGTCTACGACATCATTACCTGCTGGGTCTGGAACCCTAACGGCTGGCTTTTCAAGATGGGTGCCATGGACTTTGCAGGCGGTGCCACTGTCCACGCTTCCAGCGGCTTGGCTGCTGTTGCATACGCCATGGTGCTGGGCAAGCGTCGCGATTTCAACGAAAACAACAACACCCCACACAACGTCTCGTTCGTCTATATTGGCCTTGCCTTGCTCTGGTTCGGCTGGTTCGCATTCAATGCTGGCAGTGGTCTTGCTGCTGACGCCAGAGCAGCCAACTCGCTTGTAGCTACCCACTTGGCCGCCTGTGTCGGTGCTGTCGTTTGGGTCGTTATCGACTGGATCTACACACGCAAATGGAGTGTCGTCGGCTTGTGTACCGGTGTCGTTGCCGGCTTGGCCACGGTTACCCCTGGCTCAGGCTTTGTCTCCCCGTCTTCTGCACTTTTGTTTGGCTTGCTCGGCTCGATTGCTTGCAACTATGCCGTCCGCTACAAGCACAAGTATGGCTTTGACGATGCTCTGGATGTCTTTACGGTCCATTACGTTGGCGGTCTCGTCGGTTTGACTTTGACTGGTATCTTTGCCGAGCGATACATCATTGGCTTGGGCATGCCTGAGGGAACCCCTCTCGAAGAAATACAGATCGGTGGCTGGCTCGATGGCCACTGGATGCAAGTCCCTATCCAACTCGCCATGATCGCCGCCGTCTCTGCCTGGTCTTTTATAGTCACCTATTTGATTTTGATCGTTTTGAACCTGTTCCCCCAAATGCAGATCCGTCTGGATGAGCCTGACGAAGTCGTCGGTATTGACTGGGCTCAGATGGGTGAACGCGCTTACGGCTACATCGAATGGGAAGAAGAAATGATCCGCATGGCCAGTCGACATAGCCAGCATACCGCGCAACAAGAGGAGCTCAAGAAATCACCATTCCGCAGCATTCGTCGCTTGTTAATGATCGATAACCGTACCACTGTCAAGGGCGTGCCAACCTTGATCGAAGAGCCGGTGTTGGACTACAGCCAACAAAAAGAAATCCGTATGAACAAGATGCCAACAGGCAATGATGTTCTGCAGCGCCCTGCAAGCGTATGCACAACCCGAACAGTCGAGCAGCATCCACCATCCATTGAAGAAATCAGCCCCGAGCAAGTTGGCCAGAGCAGTAGTGGTACGCTTGCTAACAGCAACAACAGCAACAACAGCAGCAGTAGTAGCAGTGCTGCTGAGGGTGACCCAAAGCAAAAGAGCAGAGCCTAAATATCACACATGTCCATACTCATACCACCACCATTCTCCCTCAACCGCCCTCTTCCTTTTTTTCACACTCAATCTGCTTTTTAATTCTCTGTGAAAACAAGACGCTCCTCATACAACATTTCTTAGTCATTATTCCACCTTTCTACTCTTCATACTCATCATTATCACTTAACTTGTAAATTATTTTGTTTTTGTTTTTGTAACAGTTTTTATATTCCTATTTTAATTTTTTTTTCGTTACATTTTCCCCCTTAGAGCATATATAAAAGAGGGAAAATAAAATACACATGTCCAGCCTTTTTTTGAACAAAATCAAAGAAAAACCAACCGAGTGCCAGCGATCATTCCTCAATGCCTTTGTTGTTCGCCATTCTCTCGCAACCCCCTCCTCTCCTTTTTTTCAAGAAAAAAATATCATGAGCAGCACTGTGACAAGGTGGGAACATCATCATTCGCAAACCCCACCGCCACGGAAGAAAAGAACTAGCACGACCAACATCCAGCTACCCTCTGCACAATCGCCGCCTGTAACTGTCACTCTGACCGATGTTATATTATTCACGACGCACGATACCACGACGATCACAACGACGACACACGATCTTTACACCATTAAGACTGTACAGAACAGCAACGACAATGATGTGCCACACCAACTGCATCAATTACTGCCTGTGCTAGGTCTATTCGCGGTGATAGGGCTGCTCGCTGTGCTTGGCCTGCTTGGGTACATGGCCTATCGCTTTTATCGATCCAGCAACAACAGACGACGGTGCAATAATAATAATAATAATAATAATAGTAATATGGAATGGCCCTCATCGTCAGGGCGCGAGCCAATGGAATTTGAAAACTCGGCCAGTGACTTGAAGGCACAGTTTGCACCAGCATCATGGCCAGCTGTCATGCAACAAGAGAAACGACCTCTTCGCTTAGATTCGCCTGTTGAGAACAGCGAGCAGCCCATATCATCCACGTTTGTGCCTATCAACACATCACCACTAACGCTGGTGCCGCGCATGGAGGTCTGGGAAGATCCGCAGCGGCGACGAGGCGTGGATGAACTGGATATGTGGGAAAAGAAGCAGCAACAAAAGCAGCAGCAACAGTCATTACAGGAGGACTCTCCACGATCATCATCAGAGACTGTCCAAGCTGTTAGCACACAACCAGAGAGCCATATTGCCATAGCGCGTAACGCTTTAGAAAGAACTCGAATAGAGAACAGCAGTAGCCAATGGCTAAGGCCCACAGGAAGCAGTCGAAGTCTTTAGAGAATTATTTCTTTTTGTAACAAAGAAAAAAAAGCCTTCCTTGTACTTTATTTTATTTAATGCACAATTTAATTCATGGATTGAACCAAGTTGTTGATGAATCGTTCCCGATCACCTTGATCACCGCCCTCGACATAGTTGTTCAGCTTGCGTGTGCGCCAGCCACCGTTGGGGTTGGAAAGCTTGAAAGGCCACAAGAACGCATTAGCCTGCTTAAAGTTGGCGCCCACGGTTGCAATTTCGTGAACCAAATCTTCCATGGAGATAATGTTATGTTTGCCCAAAGACTGTTCGATCAGTGCGTTGTCATGCAAAGGAATGCGCTGCTTGTTGATCTTGCCAAAACCACGCTTGTAGATTAATTCGCGGATTGTCTTTAGATTGGGTTCACCAAAAGTGACGTAGGGAATTACAAGCTGCAACATTTGCAGTGTGGCTTTGTTAGCCCTGACAAACACGGCATTGTTGATCTGGAGCAAACGCAAAAGCTGCAGGACCTTGCGAGGTTTGGGTGGAATGTTGTTAATACCGCGGATACGGACAACAAGCAAGAGTTTGCGTTGCGAAGGGATGTAGTAGCTGCCATTGGCTTTGGCCTCACGGTGGAGTTGGATGAGTTTGCGTTCAGAAGCTTGGTATTCACGGCGATAAGAGGCTGAGCGGCGAACAATTTCACGGCGCTTGGCAATACGGGCCTGTTGTCAATCGGAGAAAAAAAAGGTTAATACTCCATTGCACGAAAGGAACGCGTAAGGGCAACCAAGCAAGAGACGTCATGATAAACTATACTATTTTCAATCAGACCCGAAAGATGGTATATTCTGGCAACATCGCGGTGCAAACGCTAGCCCGAGAAAAAGGTAAAAGATTTCATCACACAGAAAAAAAGATACAATTTCATAACGTCTTTTTGCTCGGCTTCCCTTCTACACAAAATAGAGAAAAGAGAAAATACTTGCCTTGCGCTGCTGTACTTTTGCTTCAGTCGCCTTTGCTTCAGCCTTATCACTTGCCTTCTGCTTCTTCAACAAAGTTTCAGGCAAAAAGACTTGCTGAGCAGTAGGGACAGAGCTATGAACGAGTGATCAAGGGCAAAACGGGTCAACAACAACTTGGTCCAATGCACAAGTATATGCGAACATATAAAAAAAAAAGTACAAGAACAGAGTTCAAGCTCTTTATGGATTTGGGCTTGCTCCCGCCAGGCCGTGGTAAAAACTTCTCCAAAAAAAAGTTTCCTCGGTGCACGAAGAGCGATGATGATTTTGAGGAGAAAAAAGAAAAGCAACAAAGATTTCTCTTTACTCCCATCTCCCATTGCCCCGTTATCTTTCCTGATAGCAGGTAAAGAGTATGGTACACAGGGCAAGGAACAGTGTAGAGGTCATATGACCAATACAGGGCCTATGTTCGGTCGTAACATTCATAAAACAGCAAAAGTAAAGCGGGAGTTCGAACTTACTAGGAAACCATCGTGTTTTTGTGTAGTGGAAGAGAAAGAAGTGTAAAAAAAACTTTTTCGCGCCCATCGAAATTTATATAACGTGCCTCAGCCACTCGCTCGATGTTACCCTTCTTTACTCAGCTGGTAGCGGAACGATAGTATTCAGCAATGAAAGATAGTGCGTGTAAAAAGATGTTCATATCACGAGAGTTTCTCATTCGATAGGTTGGACTTTAATGAGTGAGAAACATGTAATCCATGGCGCTGCTTCCACGTTCAAAATCGATTGGTTACGATTATCGTTTGGCAAGCCTAAACATCTGTTTGGCTATATTCCATTATAAAAGAGCTGCATGAAAACAGTTAATTGGGGGCGGATAAAGCGTTTATCTAGCGCTTCATACTTTTAAACTTGGTAACATATAAGTAATATCAAATGAGCACTTCCCAACGTCAAAGTAGTCAGAGTGCTGCAGGTATGCCGAGAGTCTATTTCTGCATCCCCTTGTCTTTTGGCACCGTAGTGACATTATGGCGACTAAGAGTGAAATGAAAAAAAGACGATTATTCGTTTAGGAGACCCCAACGGAAAAAACGACAAGCGTCATTGAACCACCTCATCAATTTTTCATTCCCTGATCGACCTGACGATTTTGAAACGCACCATGCGGCACTCCATGACGATTCTTTTAGCACCACTACTGCCACTTACAAACCTTTTAAAAAGGAACACTTTGTTAACGCAAAGTAGGTGCTCCGTAAAACTATATTTATACAGCAGCAGCAACAGCAGCAGCAAATAGTAGTACTTTTCACTCACATGTGCAAACCGTGATGATAGCTTCCGATTTTTGCTAGATCCCTCTGGCGACTATTCACGTCATCTGGATGATCCTGACGCCTGTTTTGACTGGGACCTAATTGAGCAAGTGCTCGTATACTCGGACCAAGTGCCCACATGTCCAATATGTCTGGATCCACCGACGGCAGCCAGGATTGCAAGGTGTGGGCACATATTTTGCCTGCCGTGTATCTTGCATCATTTTCATGAAAGTGGAAGGACTTGTCCAATGTGCTGGGAAGCAGCAAGTGTCCATGAATTACGGTCGATACAAACCTTACCATCTTCTAAATACAATATCGGTGACGAGATCGATTTGTGCCTAATGCATCGAAAAGCGCATAGTATGCACGCTGAGCCTATAAGCAGCAACACACCGTCAGCGACGAATGGGGTGTCCGCAGTACCACACGATACCACCTCAAAATTACCATATGCGCGTTTTATGCTTGCTTCACCAAATACCCTGGAAAGTGCTCATGAACGGGACACTGCTGCATTGATGGCTAACATTGAAGCGTGTCATCAAGAAGACGAAGATGGCAGCGAGTTGGCATCTCTCTTGGCTGGTTTGGATTTGCTCAACGACCTCCACGACAACCGCATACAGGAGCAGCAGCAACAACATCGTCCAAGTCGAACTAATAAAAATAGTAATCATCGCCTCGTTGAACAAAGTCAGCAGCAACAGCAATGCTATTACTTTTATCAAGCAATGGATGGACAATGGATATTTCCTGGATCTCACACCATCCGCATACTGCTGGAAGCCTTTGGCGACTATTCTAACTTCCCACACAGGCTCACAAGCGTACCTATCACTCATTACGAAGAGGAACTACTGACGGAGGAGCGACGGAAACGATACAAGTTTTTGGGACATGTGCCTTTAGGATGTAACGTAGCATGGATTGAAATCAATTTGAAGGGAGTTGTACCTGACGAACTACTCGTCGTGCCATCATCGCCAGCGCCGACTGGTAAACAATTAACTGTATTTTGCATGATTAAGTTTATGCAGGGTGCTGATATAACTTTTTTTTGCAGCGATAGTAGAGGAGGAAGAAGAAGAAGAAACGATGACAAATTCAGAGCGTCAAGAAGGTCCCAGCCACTATCGTTTAGATGGAGAACCGCGAGAAACTAGAGAATTGGATCCGATGGGGTTACCCATCAAGGAAGAATGGTCAGACGAGGAAGAAATGTTGGAATACGTATTAAAGTTGTCAGCGGTTCAAAAGTAGCTTAAATACAAGAACTACCTATTCAATTGCGTAAAGATGTTTTTATACCAAAAGCACACATTGCTTCCATGATTCTAGTAAATAAGTATATAATTGACATCGTAAGTTAGGAGCAGAGTTGGTCAAAGCCCACCATATACATTATTAAAGGAGGTGGGATTGATTGTGCCACAGATCATGGAGCAAGGATACAGTATCAGCAGTGATGTCGAATGGTCAAATCCATAAAAAGCCAGAGAGACCTTATTTACACAGATTATGTGTATTATGCTGTCTCCATGTATACATTATCTATAAAGCTTCAATGTGCTGAGCACTGCCCATAAATTTCATGCGGTGAGAAATATCCGAAATGACGTATGAACTGGCAAAAAACTATATGAAACACATTTTGCTTCGCATAATTCAAACTTTGCTGGTCTCCTTTTCTACTTTTGTTTTCCTTTCATCCCAATGAGCTCATTAGACCACCTTGATGACCACCAAAAAGAATTGTTAAACCAGTTCCAGGTACCATTTAAACAGCTTACTATCACCGGAACCCTCACCCTTGTCAAATTCTATGGACTGTACACGCAACACACTGCAGTTTGCGTTCTTTCCAATCCACCCTAACACATTTTCAATGTTAGGCCGTGACCCAATCGGATGATTTCGAAGCTTCGATAAGCAGGCTTAGCCATTACAATTGGAACTTGGAGGTAGATAGAATAAACCAACGCATTCAGAATGACAAAAGAGGAACGTAGAAGCTGAGACTTTTATTTAAAATAGAGAGCGGTTGGAAGTGTGTATGAAGCCAACAGCTCACACGATTCAGCTCGAGAGAAGCTAGAGGAAGAAGTCGCGTCTAGCACTTCATCCCAACAACCTAGTAGTAACCAAGCAGCAGCAGTAACAGCAACATCGTCTTCATCGTCGTCGTCGTCGTCATCAACATCACCGTCTCCAAGACAGCAATCTTCTTCAACTGCACCACAGCGACCCTTTCGACTGGGCCTGTTCTCACTGTTGACGTGGCCATTTGGTATTGCGTGGAATATCACTTGGGCTATTTTATCCTTTGCATGTGAGTTTGTAGTAATATAGATACCGACACCATTTACCAAATAGAATAAAAAGGTAATGATGCAAAAAAAAAAAAAGATAAAGAACTAACAACATGCATGACTGGATGTTTAGCACGTCTTTTGTCTCGACCTTCAATCACTTCCTCCACAAATTCGCAACAGCAACAACAGCGGCAGGATCCACGCACCGTGGCAGCTCGCTTTTTGCGTGAATTTGAAATCAAATATGGCGAAACACACGCCGAATTCTATCAGGGAGGATACTCACAAGCTTTGGAAAATGCTCGCAGAGATTTGCGATTTCTGCTTGTCGTTCTGCAGAGTGATGAGCATGATGATACAGAACAGTTTTGTCGGTAAATGTCTTTATTAGATCGCTTAATTCTTGCGGGTGTGCTGAATTACCAGTCTTTATTTTTAGGGAAACAATGACTTCAGAAGAGTTAGTGAATTATCTGCGTGAAAAGAATGTACTGGTGTGGGGTGGTAATGTGCGCGAATCCGAGGCTTTCCAAGGTAATTTATCGTGTTGGATGACGATGCACGCGAGAGAAAAGATAGAGAACTTATTCCAATTTCCCTTTCCTGCAAACAATGTCAATATTAGTGAGCAGCACTTTACAAGCAACAACATATCCTTTCATGGCAATTATTGCCCTTCAGCAGTCATCCAGCACATCTTCGGGATCTCTTAAAATGACCGTTGTCGACAGAATCGAGGGTCCCGCGTCGCCATCAACCGTTATACGCCGTTTCGATACGGTGATGCAGCGTCACGGTAACACTTTAAACCGAATGCGTATGGAGCGTGACCAACGCGAGATGGAGCGTCGTTTGCGACAAGAGCAAGATCAAGCGTACCGTGAGAGCTTGAAAGCAGATCAAGAAAAGGAGCGCCAAGCAAAACTGGAAAGAGAGGCAGCAGCCAAGGCTGAAGAAGAAGCGAAGCGTGCAGAAGAGGAGCGATTGGCATATGCAGAGAAGCGGAAGCAGTATGTCCGATATTTGTGTCGCAAATTACCTGCTGAACCCACTGAAGGGAGTGTGGCCAAGTTGAGCTTTCGATTGGCGGATGGCGAACGTGTTATCCGCAAGTTCAAGGGCGATGTGCCTCTAGAGGTATGTAAATAATAGTATGCATAACCGTCTTTGGGGAATCTAAATGTTGTATTCTATAGGCACTGTATGAGTTTGTAGAAGCATATCCGCTGCTCAAATCGGGTGAAAACGTGGAGGATGTTGAAGAGCCTTCGGACTACAAGCACAAGTACGGATTCACTATTATTTCACCATACCCACGCACGGTGTATGATCCCAGCACGACAAAGACACTGGAAGAGGAAAAGAGCCTGTGGCCAAGTGCGACTTTGATCGTGGATATAGATGATATTGAAGATGATGATGAGGAGGAATAAATGTTATCTTTTTCCACAATTTTTATTATTATTAAATACAAAATAAACGGGAAATTATAGAAGTTGGATAAATAAATTAATGATTTATTGTCGAAATGAAACCAAAAAGAAACATTTTTCAATAAATTAAGGAAAGAGGAGTGTAGGAGAAGTTCTAATAATCTAGGTGGCAGTTTCGGTGGCAGTTTCGGTGGCAGTGTCAGTGGCAGTGTCAGTCTCGGTTGCAGTCTCCGTAGCAGTCTCCGTGGCAGTCTCGGTTGCAGTCTCTGTGGCAGTCTCTGTGGCAGTCTCTGTGGCAGTCTCTGTGGCAGTCTCTGTGGCAGTGTCAGTCTCTGTGGCAGTCTCCGTGGCAGTCTCCGTGGCAGTGTCAGTCTCTGTGGCAGTCTCTGTGGCAGTCTCTGTGGCAGTCTCCGAGGCACTGTCAGTGGCAGTGTCAGTGGAGCTGGTATCCTCAGAAGACGATTCGGCTGAGGACGATTCGGCTGAGGACGTGGGGAAGAGGATGTTGAAGATTTCAGAAAGGGCGGGGATCTCTCGGAGCAACGAGGCTAAGGGCACATCAGCAGAGACTAAAGAAGAAAAGACACAAACATTAGCATGTATATAGCTTAAAGTGGTTTAGCGCGTCATGATGAGCAACGTACACAAGGCAGAGTGGGTGGTTTCGGTGGTGGTGGTGGTGCCTTCGACAGTGGTCCAGGAGGTGGTGGTGCCAACAACGCCATCGTAGACGTTCACGTAAGTGGTCGATGCCTCTGTGACGGTTTCGGTGGAGAAAGGCTCACGCTTCTTCATCATCCTGTAACACACAACAACAAATCATTGTTAGTCATTTGTGGTCGAGTAAAATAGCATCGAATCAATAGAAGAAGGTATTTACGCGGCGTGACCAGCGGGGCTGGCAATAGCAAGGCTGGCGCAGGTGGCGAGGGTAAGAGCGACGTATTTCATAGTGATGTGATGTGTTGTTTTTGGTAGGAAAAGGAGCGTAGTAATAGAGAAGAGCAAATACTTTTTGGTTGTTGATAATTCTATTGATCGACCTCAGAACATCCTTCTTTTATAGTCTTTTGGATGCGCTTCAAGTGTTGAAAAGGAATGCTCGTCTGAAGACATTCCTTTTTTTTCTGTTCTTCACATACCATATGTCCATGGATCAATTTGCAACGACCAGATCAAAACCGAAATTCCCGCACGGCAAAGCAACTGTTGCCAAAAAAATTTTGCTCAGGGTCAAATCCCAAAGTTGAACTTTTGACCGGGTTACAGAAAGTAGAGAGAGTGAGAGAGAGAGCGAGACAACAGAAAACTCATCACACACCAGCATACAAAGATACTCTGCTTTGTTGCCCATGGAATTTGGCCACAAACACAACATAGCAAACAACTTTTTATTTCTTTCTTTATACTTGTCAGATTATTCTTTTAAAAGAGTTCACACCGTAACAGTTCTGCTACGACCCAGCAATTCAGACTGTTTCCTAGCAGCCGATAACGCTGCATCAACGAAACAGAGTCTGGAAACATCAAGTGTGGCAAGCAATGGGGTGGGTTGAATGGACGTGGCTTGGTGGAGCAAGTATTGGTTTGTAGTTGATATTCGGGCATTGGAAACGCATGCAAGCGCGAAATCTCTATCGGCGTAAGAAATCGTAGGCCAAGTTCTAATAACGATTTAGGATCGCTCCAGTCGTATTCCACACGCTATTTGCGATCATTCTGTAATATTAGTGATCTTTTTGCTTCTTCCCGATTTACGATAACTTCTATTTAGAAAAGCAGGAAGAAGACCCAAACTTGCCTCCAGATGCTGTGTTTGTACCAAGGACCCACTTGTCTGTAGGTGATGTGATCCGTATGCCTAGCGGGAGCGGTTCCAAAATGAGCACAGGTATCTCGTTACCACGCAAACGTTCTACTGATGGTTTACCTTGGTTACGCACGACGTACGATTGTCGCTGGGCTGCACAATATCTGAAATGGAGGGTTTTTTTTATTTGTTTATTCTCGAATAGTAAAAACCTGATTCTTTTGTGTGATCACACATACCAAATCGAAACTTGTGTCGCTTCAAGATCTCCTTCTCAGGCACTCGGTATAGCAAATCGTCGTTGGCCGAGTTTTCAATAAACTGACTTAATTCAGGTACCTCAAACTGGTATTCTCCTGCAAATGGCCACTTGGTATGTATTTCTCCTAGAGGTGGTGATGGTGCCTTTTCTACAGAACCAAGTCTGCGAGCCATCATATAGTATCGTGCCCGATGGTTGGGAATACCAAATTGGATGGGTGACAACAAGCATTCTTTAATTTGGTAATTCATGCTCTGAAGCGTCTCTACAAGTTTTGCTCTTGATTGGGATTCCTACAACAACAACAACAACAACAACGATCGGCACTCTATATATCAGAACTAGAGGTCATTGTTTTACAGTTGTTTCGCACGTGTGTTTTCTTATTGTACCTCGAAATTCTTGACATTTTCTAAAAATAAAAATGTGGGCGGGTCGGCGAGTTTTGGTAATAGATTTATCAGATGGACCAGTCCTTGAGCTCGTGGATCGTCAATATCCTTCATGTTTCCTCCTTGTGTATACGGCTAACATTTATTCTCGCTTTTCGTTAGAAGAAATGATTTTTTTTGGTATCTCCCTCATACTGCATACTCTTTTTTTATTTACCTGACATGGTGGACTTAGCAACCAACAATCGGCTTTGAACCTAATACACATCCATCAGCACAACTGATCTGTTGGGAATTTTTTTACTGCTTACTTTTCGATATCTTTTGCGGTCAGCCGCTCAATTGTTTTCTATATACACAATGCATGTCAATCAAACAGAGAACATTAAAAAAAATCAGGGCGTGTGTAAACAGCATACGTTCGAAGGCGCGTGGCCGAAATTGTATTCATAGACTTGATTGGCAATCATGTTGACGTCGAATGCACATACTACTGTGGCAGGAACCTCGGCAATATTCAAAGCATAATGCTTTTCAGTTATATTGTTGAAAACATTAGCGATCCATTATTTTCTCCCTCGATGAGTGCAATTCAATGTACCAAACCACCGATGCCGCTAAAGAATTCAAGACAACGAATCGGATCGCTCATTTTTGTAGCTGTGATCTTTGTAGAAATAATTGATAAAAATTATGTGAGGGTTGGATTTGACAACAAGTGGCGGAGTGCTTCTTGTGTTACACCAAAGGTCATGCTGATTACATCCATGCCTAGCTTCGCAAAGTAATAGTGTTAGAGCACAAATCAACTACATCAAGAATAGACCAGGAAGCCTTTCGATCAGTTACGGTGCCTAAAAAAAGCCTTCTTACTAGTCATTGAGTTCGTGGGAATATTATACTTTGACTACTACAGTACCTAGACCTGTAATGAATTGCTCCTGCCATGCTAACTGAGGTGTTGTTAGCAGCGTTTAAGCGAAAAAGCAAGTTTCAAAGTATCGTTACATTCTGGATACACTCAAAGTGCCACAAGGGCTATACCTAATGGATGGATTTGCTACTTGTGATTTTCGATTTCATGTGAATCACGTAATAAATTAGGAATTGGAATTTGTCACTTATGCAAGCTGATAGGTGTACGGTTACTTCAAAAGCAAGATATCTAAAACGTTCATTCTAACCATACACATAGAGATGTATCTGTTATGAATATGTTTTCATAGCAACTATCATTAGCACTTTACAAGAACTGTGATAGTAGCGATAATTTAGCTTTAGCTAGATATAAATTTTTATGTTGAGCGACAGCAATTGCCCCTCATCATACGTGCCTACATGTCAATTAACACATGGTAAAAAAAGGTCGTTTCTTTAATCGAATTTATCAGCATCATCATTATATGATATAAGTATACACCAGCTTCTTTCTATCGATAAATGATCATTTACGAAACAAGTTATCATTATCCTTGATATCCATTTTTCGACAATTGCTTGAGTGCCTTTCAGTTTTTCCATAAATCACCATCCTGTAAGTGTGTCATCTGGGTATACGGCGTTGTACTGTACATATTGTGAGTCGCGACCGCAGTGCAATACATAATGAATGGCTGCGTCTGTAATAACATATTTCTCATAATAACCATGGTGAAATTTCCGCAGCATCGCCTTAGATGCTTTTGGTCAAGTAAATGATTGATGATTGATGATGCTGATGTATGATGTCGTACGGTCATAATAGTGTTTATTTAGATCATCCATCAACTATACAATGATACTACTTAATAAATTCACAAGTTCAGTATTACACGGCTTTAGCATAAAGTGGGTAGTATGTCATTGGATCTGGGCTATTCATGTCTTTTGCTGAATTCTCATAGCTGTCTGTGAAGAACATAAATGTGACAACCGCCCCAGCCATATGCGCCACCTTATGCCACCCGCATATGTTGCAGAGAAGGAAGGGTGATTTAGTAAACCGCTAAGAATCCGACCTGTAGTGTTGCTGCGGATTTCTCCTGAAGGACAAAAGTGGTGACTCTAAGATATTACAGTATGGCTTCACTTCATTTGTCCGTCTTTATATCGACAACATACGTACGCGTCATAATTACTAGTGCTCCCATACAATGTAAGCGGGAGATAAGTGAACTTTGTGCCCGTCTGTGAAGGGGTGGACAGAAGTGCATTTTTGATATGTGATCTTATTATATGTAGACATCGTTCAGTTTACGCTCGCGCCAAAAATGACAAGTTGTATACATATAACCGCACAAGTAGTAATAGTATATGACAGGCATGTTCTCCACTGTAAACTTTGAGAGAAAAATCACGTACATAGAAAAGAAATGTCTATTAGTATCGAGTAGTTTTTGGTTTGCAGTGTACAAGTGCATATGATGGTGGAATGCACGACGGTAAAACTCTTCTGCTCAGAAGAAATAAATATGTATATGTTTACGTCATCATCTGTCTGTAAAGTTGCTCTTGTAACTCAAATATTGATGATCAGATAAACACTGACGACGTGTTTTTAGTCACTGTACAAAGCAATAATATGGGTAATGCGACATATAGCCATCTTAGAATGTATCTTTTTTAAATAAAAGATGGCAATGTCAACTGTTTTCGGAAGGTACATATTTCTTCAATGTGTACATCTTACTCTTACTATGAGCAAATGCATAGTTTGTGTTACTACATGTACGGGAAGGAAAGAAGCTACATAGGAAAAGAGACACGTGATGCTTCTGTAAGTAAAAACAAATGCATGATGACGATAGACATCATGTAAACTGCACAGCGCGTGCTGCAACCGATATGGAAATGTAGAATGGGAACTATTGACGGTTTTACAGCTGAATTATGAGCTCTTGTTGCTGCATAGACAGTCTGTACAGGCCGCAAAAACAAAATAATACGAGCAGCTCTACTTGCGAGAGACGACAATACCAGTACAATGTATTTTCGTTGGTTTTGATGGCTTGTCAGCACATACATAAGCGTGTGTGTACAGCTAAGTGTTAACATGTTTATTGTGAACAGTCAACGCATACAAGATCGACGTTCGCATGGATGTGGTGTGATGTCGGACTGTATACGTATTCTGTTCGATGGGGCAGATGAGATAGAGAGAATACTCCTTGTTTCTTATGAATTGAGTTTCAGATTGCTCATTTTTTGATGCCGCCCTTAAATTTAGTATAGTGCGCCGTTATCCATTGTGTGAGATAAAAATAACTAGCAACAGCCGAGTACCATGGCAGCACTTGATGCTTGATGATAGATATGTAGCTACTGGGGAAGCAACAAGCTGTGACAGCCAAGTGTTATCTGCCTTGAGCCATAATGATTACCATTTGCGGTCGAAAGGCCTTTGGCCAAGAAAGTTAGACGTGTACATGGGTTCCCGTTCGATAAATGGCACTAAACGTGGTTCCCGTTCTTCCGTGTATACACCAGGCAATTTAGTGCTGTTGATAGCCTGATACTTAGGTGTCGCTACTGGGCCCGTTAGTGTCCCTTCTGATTAATATGGGTAGGTAGGTAGGTAGTTAGATACATACCGAAATACGTACTTCTGTGTGTATTTCATAACGGCCTTAATGCGCATCGATGAACCGCACTAATGCAGGCAAGTGCAGCAACAGTAGGAGTAGAGTAGCGGTCACTTGGCACACTGGGAGAGTCGCGCGATCACGGCAAAATAAAAAGAAAAGGTACGATTCCTTTCTTTGTACAATAGCCTCGTTGTGGTACAATAAATTGACTGACACCGTCCCTTCTCTTCTTTTTTTTTCTTTCTTTTGCTTCGCCCCTCTCTCCTTTTCCAACTCTTTTCTTCTTTCTTCTACCCGCCCACCCCTTACGCTCTTTTTTTTTATTACGATCTTCTAATCTCTTAATCTCTGCAAGAGACAGATAGAAACTAATGTCGCTTGCAACGGCGCCCTACCACGACGACACTTCGTCTTTTGAGAAACCTCGTCGACTGTATGCAGAATATCCGAGTGCGGTGTCTGTAGCTCCTGTGGCTGCCATGAACAACTGTTCGCGGACAACGACCATGACCACTTGTTCATCAACGACCGAATCCCCCGTCGATTTATCGCCACCAACGACACCTATTCCTAGACCAACCGCCAGCGATTTCAAAAAACCTTCCTTTGTCAGCGATGCAGAAACCGAACCTATTCCTACCATTAATCACGATGACCTACGCTTACCAAAACGTTACTCCACCAGTCACAGCTTCACGAAACGATCCAGCAAGCCGCCCGTGGCTCGACTTCATTCCGAAGTAGACGGTATGGTCTCTGACGACGGGTTCCAGCGAGAATTATCAGCACGTCGCAAGGCTTTCCGTCGACTCTCGCGCCATACCTACAACAACAACAACATCAATAATAATAATAATCACAACACGCATGAAACGGACGACGAGGACCGAGTGCTGATCGGTACCCGGGTGTCAGAAGGCCATCAGAACTACGTGCTCATGTATAACATGCTTACCGGTATTCGGATTGCTGTGGGCCGGGTGTCTGCCAAGCAGGACCGGCCCTTGACGGATCATGACTTTGGGGCTGCTCATAAGCTTGTTTTCGATGTGTAAGCAAGCCTCTGTTGCTATTGCTAGTGCTACTATTAGAATGTCAAAACGTTGACGACGTATACATCTTGTCAATTTCTTTAGCACCGGAGACGAGCTGACGCCAGGAGCAAGATACGACTTCAAGTTCAAAGACTATGCACCATGGGTTTTTCGAAATCTGCGCAAGCAGTTTAAGATCGACCCCGCCGACTACCTGGTATGTCGATCAAGCGAATGCACAATGATCAGGGGCTGTCGACTCTCTATGGTGTGGGTAGCAAATATATTAATTTGTATATATTGTAGATCTCTCTGACAAGCAAATATATCCTTTCCGAGCTTGGATCACCGGGCAAAAGTGGCAGCTTCTTTTATTACTCACGTGACTATCGCTTCATCATCAAAACCATTCACCATTCCGAACACAAGTATCTACGCAAGATCCTTCCCGAATACCATGACGTAAGTGAAGATCATGTTCTTCATCTTTATTTTTGTTTTTTGTTTTTTTCGGGGGTAAAGAGAGGGGCTTTGAAAAGGGTATAGTATGATGCTGAATGAAAGTGTTTGTTTTTTAGCATGTCAGCACCAATCCTGATACGCTATTATGCCGTTACTATGGCCTGCACCGAGTCAAACTTCCTCGTGGTCGCAAAATTCATTTCGTTGTCATGGGCAACGTCTTGCCGCCACATAACGATATCCACGAAATGTACGATCTGAAGGGGTCTACGTTTGGCCGCTTTTTATCGCAAGAGGAAATCGACAAGAGCAAGAACAACGCAGTCATGAAGGACCTGAACTTTGTAAAGAACGACAAAAAGTTGCAGTTGGGTCCTCAGAAGCGCAAAATGTTCGTCAGCCAGTTGATTCGTGATGTCAAGGTATAGTAGAAAATAAGAGAGAGAGATATTCCACTACTGGAACAGAAAACCATCCTAGATAGATTGTCTGACAGTATATATCCCCTACTACTTTGTGCAGCTTCTTGTCCGTCTCAACATCATGGACTACAGTCTACTCATCGGTATCCACAACATGGTCCGCGGTAACAAGGAAAACATCCGTGACTCTACACTGCAATTTTTTGAGGTATTGTAATGCAGCAAGTGGAAGGAGAATAACATATAACAAGACCAGCACATTGATTCCAACCGTTTTCTCTTAGCCCGATACGAAACGCGCTGAGCGCCGTGCATCGTTAATGAATCGTCGCCAAAGCAAAGCTCAGGTGTACCGCAAAGCCATCGCACAGACCAACCCCGACCGTCTGGATGCATCTGAGCTTCCTGATGAACCGCTCGAAGAGTAAGTTCACACCATATGTGCTATCAAAGGATGAAGGGAACGTTGAAAGCTGACATGTAATCGCTCTTTGGCACTTGAATAGACGACGAAACTGTATATTCTACTCGGATGATGGCGGTTTCCGAGCCACGGATGAAAATGATCGACCCACATCTGTACTTTACTATCTCGGTGTGATTGATATTCTCACCCCTTATGATACCAAGAAGAAATCCGAACACTTTTTCAAGAGCATGACTCAGGATAAGCACGCCATTTCTTCTGTCAAGCCATCCGAGTATGGTGATCGATTCATGGGATTCATGGCCAACGCTATCGAGCACAACCAGGATATCCCGCAGGACTATCAGCTGAGCTCTTCAGCACTTAATAATATTCAATAGTACTATAGAAATTAAAAACACTAAATAAAGATTTGCTTCTCTTCCGCAGCGATTTAACTAATGAAATAATATATCATACATAGTGAGGGAGATCATGCGAGTCAAGAGACAGAAGCGCATACTGGTTTTACAGAATACGACGAGATACAGTAAACATACAGAAAAGTTGGCAGCAACGCAAAAAAAAAGCGTGGAACATTCAATTAAAAAAGAAAGGAGGCGCGGGAGAACTATGCAAACATGTACAAAGATAGACTACACTTTTCTATTCCACTGTCGAGTCAAATAGCAAATAGTCTGGTCCAAGATAGAATTTACCAAATCGCCTGTCCTGTCAATACCGATGAAACCATGCATAGCGCCCAATGCGCGTACTGCCACCACAGGTACGCCAGCTCGCATCAGCTTGCGGGCGTATGCTTCGCCTTCGTCCCTTAACACATCTGCTTCAGCAGTGACAACGAATGCAGGAGCTACACCGGTCAATTCTTCAACGGGTGTTTCCAGAGGTGAAGCTGTGCTTTCAAATCGGTCCTTTTCGTTCGGAATGAAATGTCCCCAAAAATATTTCATGGCGTCCTTGGTCAAGAAGTGTCCTTGGCCAAACTTGGAGTAAGATTCGGTGTCGCAACCAGCGTGTGTAGCTGGATAGTACAACACCTGGCACTTGATTCTTGTTGAATTATCGCCACTGCGCTTTTTATCGAGGACTAAACGTTAATCATATTGAATATACCTTTCTGTGAGTCTCTAGTAATGTCGCTTTTTTTCTACATATTCGCTATAGATTTAAATGTTTTACGGCTCTGAATAAGTAACAAAACTCACCTGCTAGGGCAGCACTCAAGTGTCCGCCAGCGCTATCACCGAGTACAGCGATCTGGTTGGAATCCAATTGATGGCTTGAGGAATCAGTATCGACAATCCACGATAAAGCATCATAGCACTCTTCAAGAGCTACTGGATGCCGTGCTTCGGGGCTAAGCGAGTAGTGAACAAAGACGACCGCTGCATTGGATCGTACAACAAGCTGCCGCCAAACCAAAATTCAGTACATATTCGATCTTTCGCTATCACATGCAGAGCTTACAACATGCGAAACGAACGCTCACTTACTTCAAACACTATCCACTTGTATGTTTCATAAGTGCCGAGCATCCATCCACCACCGTGCCTTGAAGAATTGCACATCTTCTCGTTTTACTACTACATCGTGTTTCGCATAAACCGAATTGAAAAAGTATAAGTATAAGCTTACAGGAAAAGAATAACTGGCAATACATTGTCATCACCGTGAACCGGTCGCACAATTGTCAACTTCACACCATTCTCTGTAATCTTTTTGTCTTCGACGACAACGAGCTTGGATAGGTCTTCGACGATCGAATCAGGAGGACTGGCGCCTGGTGCTTCCAATAATGCGCGAACTTGCCCGGGAGTGTGCTTTTCTACGCCGATATCTGGATACTTTTTCAAGGATTCTTCGTATACTGGCAGAAGCAATTGGTAGTCGTCGTAGGGCATGCTGATGCACAATAAAAATCAGTGAGAATGATAGAAAATCGGGAATAAGTTAATGAAATGTCTGAATCTCTTGTTCAGGTGTCTCTATATATAGTGGCGTGTTTTTTACGATCCGGAGTTGGCGAAAGTTACACGAAGGAAACCGCCAGCATCTGGTTCATTGAGAGGCTGTGTTGGCCGTATCAATAACAATTACTGGAAATAGACACATATTCATAGAAAAGAGGTCCTCATGCGCTTCTCGTTTCACCACCGTCCCTGAGCTCGCCGCAGCAACTGCATTAACTATGTTTAAAAGAAGTACAGAAGTAACTTTTACCGCAGCATTGACTACTAGCAAGTCTGACATTGATTAGGTTACAAATTCAATGGTTACTGCTGCGGCAGGCGCGTCACAGATACTACCGCCGCTTCACGTTTGTGCAGTGATCAAGAGAGATACTGTATATATTTACCTACATATAACATTGAAGCTTCAATGCCAGGAGCCTACTTAAGATGCATGCCGCAGTTGTTGTATTGTTTATCTATTAATACTTTGTGAGCCTTATGTTTTTTGATATCATAAGCAATGCTTTGGCAATAATAACAATCACCATCAGCATCAGAGTTTACAATAAGCAAAACAGCCTAAGAATATGAAATGCATTTTTCAATCTACTATACAAGCTGTGTGATAAATGATTATACGTAAGCCCGTGTATACTCTTTCCCAAAAGCGTACCCAATTTCGATTATATACGATTCTGGAATTGATCGTGAAACTCACTGTCTGTGATGCCATTACTGTAATATTTCGAAATGATAGAATTTTATTTCAATGCAGTTTGCTTCGTTCATTAAGGATAAAAGTGCGAAGCTTATCTCAAAAATAAACTTTTACTCTGATCAAATCCTTACTAATACCAAGGTAAAGTACCTCTTTTTAACGTGTAAACTACCTGTATAGTGTGGGGATACAATTGCATTGCACTGGTGGGGCACTCGAAAGAAAATCGTATCTAAATGTCAATATTTCGGAATCCAGGGTATGAATATATTGTCATTTGCATCATGGCTTACCAGATACTGTAAAACTGACCTAATATTGAGAGCTGTGTATCAATATGAAGTAGTATGTTATATGTAGCTATGGGCGCAGTGATAGTTCATTTACAGAACATATGGTCATAACTGTATTCCAACAGATTCTAGGAGGCCTTGACAAGTTACTATTCGCAGAGCTAATGAACGTCAAAGGGGTCTCGGATGGCTAACGTTCCAGCTATATATATTAACATTCTACTCAATTTGAGCACTACCAAACGATAGCTTCAGTGGCAAGATCTCATACTGCACATCCGATCTTACAAAATTCGTCAGTGCCAGATTTCCTGTTGATCACAAGCGCTCACAGAAGCTCGTGATAATACAGTACGCGTAGAATTAACAAACTGACAACATGCAATTCAGTTGCTCGGACAGGGCTTGATAGATGAAAACCGTCGATAAAGTCTTATACGAGAACTGCCACCACAGGCACCTCAGCCTCCGTCAATTTTCTCGGATACTCACTGTCATCTTCTCCAATAAATCTACGTTTCTACAGCATGTTTGCTGTTGTTACATACAGGCGGACTTTCGCAATGAATTTTGCCTTGTACGTACATTTTTAGCTTCTCCTAATGGTAGGGCGTTTTCCATCATCTTCCGTGTATGCACAGTCGATATTTAAATACTGATGCGTAGAATATTTGTTTGTTGAAAGAACATGGGAGGAGGGATAATTTTGATTTCTATATGCAGATGATGATATGATGCCAAATCACACACAGTAAATTTAACAATATACTGATTGCATACTACCTTTGCAGCACATTATACTCATGCTCTGTCTTTGCTTTCTGACTATCGTATCTATAGATAAAGAGTGATGTGTCATGATTATCATCGGGTGAGATTCCATTACATAGATCATCTCAGGACAGCAGGATGGTTTTATGCGGATGGTAGTGCCCGCTAGAATTGTTTAAAAGAGGAATTAAGCACGTAAAAAGACATATTGCTCTATGTGTGAATATAAATGACTTAAAATACATGTTTGTTTAGGTTGACGGTGCTTGCGGAAGTATGTAAATTAGATCGAAGCAACGATAAGAACGATATCTGTCATGCTTCTACATCAACATTGTAGATAGAGAAACACGAAAAAAAATTGGTACATTATGATAATGACATGCAGCATACCGAGCGCACGGACAGCCACCACAGAAACACCTGCTGCCATTAACTTTCGTGCGTGTTGTTATTCTTTTCGTCCCTCATCACATTGACCTCAGTAGTAATCATGAAAGCGGATGCGAAGCATTTCAACTCCTCAACCGATGCTAACGAGTCTTCCTGTATAATAAAAAGGTAATAACGTGCCGTCAATTAAATAAGATACAGTCCTTAGGCACCTAAACCCTTTTGTTCTAGTGCTTTGTTGTCCATTGACAAATTCCCTCCAGCCACATCCAAGTGAGGTCGAGAAAATAACTACACCACAAAGTATATATATATCAACAGTACTCAAGTGTGGCTTCCTTTAAATGCAAGTGTACGCTACAAGACATTATTTCAATAAAGTGGACAACACCATCGATCGGTGTGGCGACGAAATTGCTGTTGCGAAAAGGATGACCACGATGGTCAGGGAATACTTTTTTCTAGGCTTATCTCTTGGTTTCTCCTTGGTATAACCTCTATCAATGCCTTGCTTTGATTTGTTGCAAAACCCGCCTTATTCCAATGGCCCCTATTTTTAAAATTCTTGCTACTTCAATTGACAAGTGCTGACTTTGGAGAGACACAGCTTGACATAAAACTGTAGTTTTTTACTCAGAAAAGGTGCAACAAGTACTAAAGCAACAGACATTACGATTTTTTTGGAGGGCATTTAAGTATGTACATACCGAGTTTTGAGATAAGACAGGTTATACGGTTATAAGAAATTATTTCGCTTGTTTGCTATACCAATGAGTGATGCGTCTTTTTTACTATATATAGCATAACACTTGGACAAAATTGTGGTAATTACCGGAGACATCTGCATGATGATGATCATGCTTAGTCATACTGGTCGACGAACTCATATCTGTTAAACTTTCGATCCTCGTAAATTTCAAAGTTTTTTTTTAGAGCTATCGAACAAATGAAGACAGCAGAGAATTCTTGTAAAAGCTGTTCTCGCTAACGTTGGCCCTCTTTATTTTCGCACAAAATTTGGAAAGTCGGCCATCATGAAATTAACGAGGATCTACCGTATCAGTTATGCTGCGGGTGGCATACTTGGACCGAACATTCAAGAATGATTACGAGATCCATATACTACAATAGCATGAATAAATAACTTGAAGAATTTATATATACGTACACTCATTTGACGTGATCTACCCATAAAGCCGAAAAGGCGAGTCGAAATTGTTGGGAAAGGATTATTTTATTTGATCATCAATTTCATACGTGTCAAGCCTTTATTTGTTCTCTTTATGTTCCATTAAACAACTGTATATATCATTCTGCCATTTTGTTAAGCACATACTGTCATGTTTAGATAATATCTATTGTATAATAGGCAATGGGAGAGTTCGTATGGGACCAAGAAATGTTTTTTTTTTCAAGTTGCCAAGCTATTCTATGATGATGTATATATTGTACCATCACTGATTATACTGTATCGTGACAGTGTAAACATCCAAACCATGTGGTCATTGTTGCTTCTAATGGAAAAGAAAGCGGAAGACCGTAATGCTTACATAGGGACGACATAAAAACCTTTCGTGTTATCACACCAGTCAAATGCAAAAGACATTGTGATGCCTAGCCATCATGTTATGGTAAGTCAGAAAGAAGACCGCACATATGGTCTTTTTGGTTGTTTGCAAAGTTGGTAAATAAAATGCCTATACGCCAGCAACGTGAGTTAGTTGTTGCACAGTGTCAGATACATAATAGCGTGTGGTGTTTAATATTTGTCAAAATCTGACTTGTGAAGTGCATGATGTTGCTTAGCGCCGAGAACATAATTTAAATAGTGTATATCTTCCAAATGATGCGTTAAGACGAAACTTATCACAGTTTTAAAACTTGAAACTTGATACGATGCTCTCGCAATGAGATATACTAGTGTGCAAGGTGTCCCGATCCAAAAGATAGCAAGCAACCCCCGGAAAAAAATCTACTATTTTGGCATATTATAGAAACAACATCCGTCTGGATATATCTTTTTTTATAGGCCACATGATCTGATTAAAAAATGGCGTTTAAAAGTTAGACAAAGGTCTAACGATCCGTCCAATATGACAGACATTTACAGTATTTGTTTTATAGATTAAATTACTGCTGTAAATAAGAAGCAGCACTTTAGTGAAATGCAATAGTAAATCAGAAAACAACAGCATCTGTACAAAATCATGCGATGCCCAAGTACTTGACGACCCAACAGAAGGGCACCCTCAAAATCTGACGAAATAATTACAGCAGAAGGGTGTGGCAACCTTTATGTAAGGTTTAAGCTATTTTACCCACCTCAATGTGCTACGGCACACCAGTTTCGGTTACGCATCTCGATCGCCGGACCCTCGATGCTGGTTGTAAAAAAGTCCGCATGTGTGAATGAGTTGGGAGTGTGGTACCTCAATTCATGCTGTGGCCCTGGTTGTTTGAGCTACGGGTTAGACGTTGCTATAGTCTAGAAATTAGAAAGAAGATCCACCTCCGAGTTCATTGTACTGCTACTACTAGAACTACTGTTCCGGAAGAAATCCGACCTGGCATGGTAAAGGGAAGCTGCTCTGGCCTTGACTCTATCTAGGTAGAATAAGCTCAATGCTAATAATGAATTCTTTAAGGTAAACATAACACCATTTGGCAGGGCCAAAAAACAAAAGCAGGTACTCAAGTACTTTGCTGCAGTATTCCTGTTTTATGATGGGCACGATGACTCAATCAGATCTGTCAAATGCTCCGAAATGGGTGGGAATGGTCAAAGTCGGTGATGGGGCCACGACAATGTTGAACAGGTGAAGGGCATAGGGGTCAACAGAGCCCTGCAATGGTATGGCTATTGACCATGGCAGCGGCTGATTGAGTAGCGTGGAAGGAAAGTTTCTTGTACTGCACCCCCCACATACACAAGCAAACCTCAATTGACGCGATTAAGTGGCACTTTTTTTTGGGAGAGTGGGCACCCCGCACCCCCTCGTGTTTTGTTTCAGATTATTTTTGGAAAGGCGACAGAAAAGGAAGGGTGCTTAACTATTGATACTATACTGATACAAGCCAGCCAAGTCATCGAAATGACAGAGAGCCCAACGCAGCGCACAAACAAAATCAAGGAGTTGTTGCGAATTTAAGGATATAGTGTAAGCTCAAGTCTGTTTGTTCTTCGGGGTTGTTCTTTGTTGTTGTTGGGTGGCACCCATGATGCTGGGAGATGACGCGCTCTGTGTTTGTGTTGTTTAGCGCGGATCGCCTTTTTATGGTCATATCGAAATATTTAGTGTGGCATATATTAAAAAGCGAGAGAGAGAGAGAGCATGTACGACAATATGACCCCGGAAAGTTTCGGCTTTCGTTTCTTCTTTATTCTTTTTTTCTTTGGGGAGAGAGCGGGTGGGTATATTACTTATCACACAAACAGCAGCTAGAAAAAGACTACTTGGTGGAGATGGAGAGCAGAAGACGGATGACTAGTGTAGGGAAATACGATGCAGGACAATAAAATATAATGATGGGGATGTGTACATGCTTTTGAAATCAATGAGGTGGAGGTAGTTATTTTAATATATAGAGAGAGAGAGAGAGTGTGTGTGTGTGTGTGCATAGTGGGTAATAATGAATGATGATACTTAATCATCCAAGCAAACATCGTCTTCGTCAAAGTCCAGCTCCAGACCATCGTCCTCTTCAGCAGCAGCAGCAGCAGCAGCAGTAGCAGCGTAGGGATGGTAGTGGTGCTGCTTTTTGGAGACGGCCTGGAAGGCGGAGGAGGAGGTGCTTGAAGGTGAGGAAGAGGTGGACGGTGGCTGTTCTTTGCGCTGTTGTTGATGCTGATGGCGCCCGATCCACTGACGCAGCATCTTTTTGGCAACCATTTTACCGCGTAGCCTGTCGGCCGAGGAGCGTAAGCGCTCGTTGTCCATCCGCAGCTCTTGCAACTGTCGTTCTAACACTGCATTGTGCTCCGATAACCGACAGATCATCTGTCGCATCTCGTTTTGCTGTTGGTTCTTTTTCTGTCTGTACTTTGCCGACGCGGCCTTGTTACGCATCCGACGTTCTTGCAGTGTAAGAGGCGCCATGCCGTGAAGTTCGTGCGAGAATTGTGGGGATGTTGGTGGCGACATGTCTTCAGGCGATGTAGGCGGTGAGCCCAGCTGTTGTTGATGATGAAGATGATGATGCTTTTGTTCGTGCGGTTGCTGTTGTTGTTGTTGTTTTAGTGGATGCTCTTGTCGATGATGCTGGGGAGGATAATACGATTGATGTGACACCGATGAGGCTGATGGCGGGGGCGAGGGTGGGAAGATGGGAGCGGTGGTTATAGCAGAAATGGACATGGCAGAAGAAGACTGAGGGCCAGGATTCATTGCGATCTTGGAGAGAAGTAGAGTGCGTGTCTTTACGGGGCAGGAAGAAACAAGACGAAAAGATGGGAAGCGAGAGAGCACGGCCTTCAAGAAATAAAGGGGTGGGGGGAGAGAGCGGAGAAGATGCTTTTTTATATAGCATAAGAAAGCAGCAAGTGCAAGAGCCCGATGTCATTATTTGGACTGTTTAGCGTTTCGTTGTTGTTGTTGTTGTTTGAACAAGGATGGCATCCATTCTGTTCAAATATGGTCAAATTAAAACAATTTCCATGACAACCCTTTGCACTTTATGCACACTTTGCCTGTGTAATAAATAAGGGCACCAAGTGTTAAAGTCAACTAAGTAAAAGTTAGCCAAATACAGGCACATTGTGTGACACACTTGCAAAAGACTGTTGTCTTGCTACTATGACACTGGCAGCCGAGCTCCGTACTCTTATACTTGTGCTTTTGCATATCATTCTTCTTGGAGCGGATGCTGACTTGTACTGTTGCAGCACATTGCAGAAGATGCACTATCGCTTATTATGACAATAATATCAATGGGGGGAATTCCAGGTGCGGTGCATTAATGAATAGCTGCGACAGTTTGGTGCAGTCGCTCCCTGTCGTCTTGTTGTTGTTGGGTGGCACCGTTCGTCTCATTTGGTGGCTCTCACCCCCCCCCACTTTCTCCTCAGCTGTGTGTGTCCTTCAGGTGGGGGGGGGGTTCTTTACAAGTGGAGATGATCCCCTTTCCGAGAATTAGGCAAGCCGCCAATGGCGTCGTTGCTTCTGTCCCATGGCTTCGTTTTATGTCATACTTGTCATTTGATATAAAACATTCATTTCTCCTTATTAGCGACGCCCGCAGCTTGCGTCGACATTGTTCATCCTGATGCTTCTTGGCTGCCTTGCGCTGCTTATGATGCTACCTTAACGATTAACAATCTCTTCTATTCTAGGAGCGCTCGAACAATGATCTTTTTTCTTTTAAGGAGGCTCTTGCTTGGCAGGTTGTACTATACTACTACGCCTCCCATACTCCATGTACTACCTTTTCTTTTGGGGGTGAGTGTGTGTGTACGTGAGACCAAGTGTTGAGCAGCCAAAGACTCTGCAGCAGCAGCAACAGAAACAGGTGGGACAACAAAAGAGACCATCCATCCCATGACATTTTTTTTTTTTTGTGGATTTCCACTCCATCACATGCGGTGCTCGATGGGTATCTTGTCCGTCAAGTCGGGTTTTGGTACTGTTTCAGAATCAAAACAAAACAACGTCTGGTCACTTGCAAGCTTCTACTCGCTTCCTCTGTTATTGTGTTTTACGAGATAACCTCTCTCTCTCTCTCTCTCTCTCTCTCTCTCCTTCTTTCTCTCTCATACACATACTGTACAGCTCATAATATGCAGAGTCCACATGATATGAATGTGCTGCCGCACGGCCGCAATTCAAATCTTATAAGCTTTATTCCTTTGTGTCTTTGTATCGCTGTGCATTGCATGATAATATAATTTTAAGGAGCTTGAATGTACTTTATTCTTTTTTGGTTGCGCGTTTCAGATCTGCTCCCATGGTTATCGCCATGCATGACCATTCTGTTGCTAAGCATCTTTTACTAACTATATCAATGCTGTAGTACATATGAACACTCGTTGCCGCTGAGTTTCAGATGGCGTCATGTACAACAACATCCGGCTGCAGCTTCTTCTTCAGGCTTTTACAGCATATGTTTCCCCTATCAACAACAATCGTCCTCGCTTTCTGTCTCCAGTGCACAGTAAAAAAGATAACATGTGTCTTGTATGATCACCATCCCGCGCCTCGCGACTTGCACCAGTATAACATGATCTACTTGTTCGATGCCAACGTTCTTTCTTCTAAGAAAATACATCCCCCCCACCAATGTAACAGCGTCCTTCCAAAGGACCCAATGGAAGCTAATTCTGGCTTTTCATCACAGATGCTAGCTTCTCAATAATAACGATGCATGATATCACTTTTACCAATTTACACAACATCCTGTGGGCGGGCATTTGCTGTTGGCTGCTAATCATCAGGAGTGAGCCACACATACCGGTCTTTCACCTGACGCTGTTCAGAAATAGCATGATTAACACTCAAAGTGACACACAGCTGAGAAGATTTCTGTGTGTGTCTGTGTGTGTGTGTTTTCTTGGCGCAATCAAACAACAAGCTGTATGACATGATATGCCATATGGCGTTTTACTCGTTTATGGTTGACAATAGAAAGACTCAAGTATTATAGTTTCTTCTCACGCCCAACAATCTGCATCAATTAAGATAACATCCACCATTGGCTCCCTGCAATCCGATCAACATTCCTCGCACTCAACAGATCCTTTCTATTTTCATATGCTGTAAGAACCGGTTTATTAGCCCTTTCTTTTACTTGTCATGTGACATTTTTAAGCATGTTACAGCGACAGGTCGATCTTTCTAGCATGATTTCGCGGCTGCTTTTTTACGAACCACCGTAAACCTCTTGCCATATGACACCCATAATAGGATATAACACCAACTCACCAAAAAGTAAAAAAAACAAACCAACTTCAGCACCACGAACCATCCGCTTTCGTCGACTTACTGAGACTCCCGATTTCTTTCTTTTTAATTTTCTCTGATTCCCTGTCCTCCTGCAATCTCACATTTTTACCTTTTCTTGTCTATACCTCTTTCATGCCGATACGTGTAGGCAAATAAAATTTGACCCAAGGTCACCTACAAAAATAATGTACGCATGGCCACTGGTTCCAATACAGACATGTGTGAGCAAGATGCAATCCTCAGCCAAGAAAATCAAGAAAACCAACGAACGTTGAAGTCATTATCGCAGTACAGTATTCAATTGTCCTTGATTTGCGAATGTCTGGAAGTTTGCAGAGCCAATGATATACCCGTCCATGTTTGGACGCGTGCTTTGAATGGTAACAATACAATAAATCAACAACAATTCCATCGACTTGTTCAATATGTCACCATATGGTTTTCTTCAAGATGCGGAAAAGTGACACTTAAAAAAACAAACCATAAAAGAACGTTTTTCGTCGACTACATCGTACCGATATTTCATCATTTCCATGCCCAAATCCAGTATTTACAGCTCCAATGGTAGCAAAGTTCACTGGTTACCACAGTCAGGTCTGAACCTTAGACAGAGTGGACAGAACGAACTAGGCCAGATAAATACACTATATAAGGTATGAATAGAAGCATATTGTACAGGACCTGATACGTATAGAAAATTTCTAGCTCACCCAAGCGAAAGAGATGTACCTGAAGTTCGAGACAAAACCTTTCAGTTTCGAACATTGCTGGGAAGTTCTGCTCAAACATGACAAGTGGGGCACGAAGGCAAAGGAGTTTAGTGACAAGCGTAGCGCCCCTAAGAAGGATAAGAAAGGGAAGAACCATGAAGGATCCGCTGCCGCCCCTAATGTTGTCCAAGAAGGTGTAGATGGTGGATCTTCCTCAAGTTGTAAACGAAGAGATACCGGAAACAAGAAAGCAAAGGAGCAGGAGGCGCTCAAACGCAGCTACGAGCAGGCAATGAATAATGAGCTCGAGTTTCTTGCAGAAACAAAATAGAAGAGTAAGCATTTGGAGCAGCTCGCAGTTGTAGAGAAAGAAAAAAGAATGGAGGAGAAAAGAAGAAACGATAGTTCCTAACACCGGCAAGCAACAGGTTCGCGCTAAAATCTTAACAGCTTCGAAAAGAAAAATGGAGATGAAGCTAGCCGACAGTGTAGAGGACGTCGTCTTGGTGAATACGAGAACACATCATACAAATATATACAAATCAAAAAATAAGCTTCTTGACCGTATGCCTTTCTTCTACTTTCTTTTTCTCCAGGCTTATAAAGAAGGTGAAATAGAGCAGCTTCAGGCAAGAATCAGCCTTTTTGCAGTTGGCGTCGGCAGCAGAAGGCTGTCAGAAAAACGTAGTAATGGCGGTGGAAGCACTGTAAGTATAAAAAACTCCAAAGCTTCTAACTCATATCTGATTACTACTACTACTACGTACCGAGCATTAACCATCATCATCTAAACTTTGTAAATAGGATTTCTGCCCTAAAGGATCTTAACCTTGGTGCTCTGCGAGAAAGCGAGCTCGTGCACATACACGCACGCATTCATCCAAGCATTGCTCGTTCGAAACAAAAAGGGTGTTGTTGCGCGCTCGTAAGTAGAGTATATTTGTAATGTACTCACCAAGATAATCATATTTAAACGATCCCCTATAAATTCTTCAATAGAGGAAATACTATTTCCGAAGATATGCTAACGAGCTCGCGCCCCGATTAACTTTGTCGACGTTTACGAGGTGTATGACCGTCAATACACAAGCTGCTTTGGCGAGGTCAAGGATGGAAGAGAACCACGAGCACCGATCCTGTTTAACTTTTACCGCTTAGCGATGTTTGCAAAAACAGAAATGGACATGCATGGATTGGATAGTCTGCTGGCGTTCCAGGTCATTGGTAAGTGGTATTAGTTTATTCACAAAACCTTTTGGGACAATAGGAGGAACTTGGGTCTACATTGCTGTCAAGTTCGAAGGTTTGCTGCAA